AAGTGCTCAGACTGAAAAGCAGGCCTGCAGCTGTTAGTTGGTTACAGCATGGAGATTGTTGCAGCAGGGGAACTTCAGCACCAGGACCCTTCTCAGGCACCAGTTCACTGCAGTCCCCCCCGTAGATGTGTTTAAGTGAGGTATTAAGACTTAGCTGAATGAAATACAAATGGAAATGCCTGTTTGTGAGAGCATCAGAAGCCACACAAGAGCTAGGGTGGAAAGAATGAGCATTGCTAGACACTGACCTTACTCAAATCAAGGAATGGTGAGGAGTGTGCTGGTTACATCAAGATCACAAGACAAGACCAAAAGTTCAGTTCCCTTAGCACAGGCTACTTGTCACCCACCCCCAAAAGTGTGCTCTGATAACATGGGCTCAGATGATATCTTCTCAACAGGAAGGCAGACAGGAGCCACAAAGATGTGAAAATGAGGATATAAAGTGATGGGCAGAAACTTTTCCAAAGGTTCTGCAGAGCAAGGCAAGGAAGGGTCTGAGGCAAGATCAGACCACAGCTGCTTGACTCAGGAGGATATAAAAGACCTGTTCAAAGCAATTGTTTGCAGTTGCCAGTGAAGGTGGACCCAAGGTACTCAGTGAAGACTCAGCAGTTGGTACCCCCACTTCTATCCTACACACAAATGCCCTGGTTAGACACAAAGATCTTGGCATTTGGCAATGTGTGGCAATGTAATCCCTCTCCTATCCCCTCTCTAATGCAAGGGAGAAGCTTTACTTTCACTGCCAACAATAAGGGTCCTATTACGGACAGTGAATCCAATATTTCAACACCATGTATTTCCCGGGCATCTGAGGCAGATTTTTTTCCCAGCGAAAGGAATGTGAGTGCATTAAATTTAATTGGTTTTGGCAAGTAGTGTTTTTCTTCCCATTTCTTTTTAAATTCATGGCACTATCAAAGTTAGTGCAGGTCAGTAGATCAAAGTCCTTCATTGCTTCTCCCTGTAAACACAAAAACCACAAAGGGCTACATGGTTTTCCTACAGACAAGAAAGACCAGGGAATTTTTTGAAGCCCCTTAGCAATATATTGCCAACATGTCCCTGGTTTTACAGTCATAGGTCTTTAATGATGAAGAAAATGCTCTGTATTTGAAAATTATTAATTACCAAGAGTTTATTTCTCTGGGATCAGTGTCCTAATTTCCAAGAAAAGCTCCATGTCAGCTTGACAACAAGAGATGCCTCCACTGAGAGTTCATAGGAAAGAACTGTTGCTTTGTAAATGCACAAAAATACATGCACTATCCTCAGTACTCGAGGTTATTCTTGGCATGAGCAGAGGTTACTCCTGCATTTATCACAGCCAATCTGAGTTTTGTTATTGGCCTTCCTGAACACATTTAGTTAGACCCAAATTTACTTTGCCGGTTGTATTATATAATTTTGTTTTAAAGAAAACAGGAACTGATAGCCCATAGAAACAACCATTGGCAGACCTGTGCCAGCACTACTATATATTTGCAATTTCTGGCTTTTGTAAACGCTGGTAGAAGTAGTACCTTTCAAACTCCTGGTTAAACTGTACGGTTTGTAAAATGTGCACACAGCTTCTCAGCAAAGGAAGTTCTCTAATATTCTTTATTGGCTGGAGGAAAGTGGGTGCCAAATACAACTGTGAAATGAGAAACAATGCACAAAGGAAAAGTTCCAGAACATCAACACATCCGTTCCTTTCCTCTGCCATAAATAACCAACACACCCTGAAATACAAGACTAAATGGCTCCAGGAAACTCTCATTAATGAAAATGTCCTAGCTGGACTTCTCACTTTCATTTGGAATTACATGCCTCAAGAAATTTTTTCTGACCTAGACAGCAGATCTGTTGTTCTCTAAGTAATACTAAGCCCTGAGATAGACTAAAATAAACTGAAGCCAACCTACTTTCCATAGAGACTTAAACCTCTCCCCCTCAATGTCCAAAATATAAGTGTTGAAAGGCACAGCCCTGCTGCTGTTGACATCAATGACAAGATCCTACACTGACTATATTAAGACATGGTTGTGTGTTCCAGCATCTGTCCTTCAGTTTTCTGGAAAACACAGATAAGGCAGGAAACAAAATAAATGGTCTTCTTGTACGTTCTCTATGCAGATAAATTTCCTCATAAAATATAGCAGCTATGGTATTTTATGGAGAAGACGTCATGATGAGACTGTATGCACGCATAGCATATTTACTGAAGATCAGAAGTGCCAGGGTAATTAGACCACTCATTTATCTAGGAGATGTTTATATTAAAATTATCATATTTCGCTGTATAAAAAAGAGATAACTGATACCAACCATCTGTAGTCTTATCCTCTTGAAACTTGTGCTATACAGACTTGTCATAAATTGTACCATACCTAGAAATTTCTGTCTCTTAACTTCCAACTGAGTCACTGAAAATTACTCATTATTACAATATCAAAACATTAATAGAAATTGAGGAATATCCCTAGTCTTTTTTGTCCTGGAACTCTCTTCTAATTTCACAATCACACTTTTCTGCTTAAAAAAAACCTTCAAACATACACAGCTTCTCTATGAAATGTCTGAATTACAGGGAAGCTATCTGGCTAATAAAACAGAGGAAATAGTGAAAATTACTATTGTTTGTTTTTGTGATCTAGAAAATTTGCAGATCTTCTGCCACTACTGATTGTGTCATGCTACAGGGCTTTTGGACAAGTGAGATGCCTGTGAGCCTTTACTAAAGTTGAAATACCATGAGCTGCAGAAAAGGAAGGTAGTACAATTTCATTTAACATTTTCAATACCATTTAAAGACAGTTCTTCTGTAATTTTCTTGGATGGAAGTGTGTATCATTCGTGGCACAAAGTACATGCTACATCCTCATGAAACTTAGATGCAGACTCTAGGGAGGGCACCAGGCTGCAGTTAATGAGATCTGGAAACAAAGACAGAGGCAGTCCTCCCTTGAACAGGTGTGTACAATGAAATATCCACCTTCTCCTCAAAGCTTGTGGTGCCACGGGTATTCCCAGTTTCACTGGGATTTGGTTGCTTTTGCATGAAAGAAAGTAGAAGGACTTCCGGGCTAGAATGGGAACTAAATGGGAAAATATTCTTAGGCAGCTGACATATCAAAACCTCTTTGTGCCTGCACTGAAGACTTCACCACAGAATTAGCCATCCAGCAGCCTTTCTAGTGAGGAGAGATTTGGTACTGTGAAAGGATGACTGATGTGCTGGAAAGGCAACTGCTTGAACCTACGAAATAGAAGATCCCTAATAGGGGTCTTGTCTTAAAGTCTGTTCATCCTTGGAGTTGTGAGTGTTTCAATGTGCATCAATGTTCTGCTTGGGATTCAGCTAATGGCTGAATAAACCAATTATTTTAAACCAATAAGGTTTAAAATAATCTAGGAATTGTAGGTGTATAAAGAGACTCAATCCTTCCTCTTGAGAGGCCAACGCACAGACAAGTGTCTCAGGGTTCAAGCCCTGAAGTCAAGGTGCTCTTGGGCTAGAACAGATCCAAAGTCATGTATCTTGATGCATGACTGAACCACAGGGTTCAGGTGCATCTTGCTGGTCTACTGCATGTCCAGTTCTGTCTGCACAACTAAAAATTCTGGAAAGGAGATAGAACAGTGCCACTCTTCCTCTCTACAGAACAGCCTGTCTTCACTTAGACTGTGCAGGCACTGTGCAGGATGGCAGGAGAGTCTGGATTTGAGGACTTGAAATCTACTCAGCCATCATAGGACAAAAGTCTGGCCCAGGAATTCCATGCAAGTATTTGCAGTTTTCTGTCATCAGGGTTGTGAGAGAAACAATCAATCTGCAGCAACTTGGAAAACTGCACTAGGAAAATGTAGGCAGAAAAACACAAGGAAAATCCAGCACTCACTTTTTCTCCCTATTCTCCTGTGGTTGACTGGGGCACAACAGAGGAGCCACAGGCTTGCCAACTCTTCTGATTTTATGGGTCTCGTGGCGTTTTTTTTTTTTTTTTAATTCCCACTCTTGAGACTGTGGGATTGTGAGGATTTCAAGTTTAATTTACAAGAGAGGCTGACATGCAACAGTTGCGGCTTCAAAGAAATGCTGGAGGTCAAGTCTCAGACCTCAAAAACTAGTGGCAAATACAAAGATAAAACGAATCAAGAATCGCCTGCATCTGTGGAGCCAGGCCCACCGCGTCCAGCCCTGGAGGTCTGGCAGCGCTGGAAGTATTCAAGGCACTTTTCTATGAAGGGTATTTGACCGCATCCCTGAGAAAACCCGAAGGGCTCAGATGAGATCCGCGCCTTCACCCTCCGGCAGCACACCCTCCCCAGCCCGCGGGGACCCAGCCTCACCGCCGGCGCTGCAGAGTCCCCGCCACCTCGGCCCTCATGGCGGCACGGCCAAGGGCGCCGTCAGCCCGCAGCGCCGGGGCCGCTGCAGCGGGGCCGAACCGGGCCGCGCCGGGCGGCGGGAGGCGGCGGTGCCCGGGGCAGGGCCGGGGGCGGCGGCGGGCGGTGCGTGGCGCAGGCTCCTCCCGCGGCCAGCCCGCCAGCCCCGCTCCTCCATCCCTCCCTCTCTCCCTCCCTCTCCTTCCCTCCTTCCCTCCCTCCGCGGCTCCATCCCTCCTTCCTGTCGGCGCTGCGCACTGCTACCGCCGGAGCTGGGCCGCGCCGCGCACCGCCCGCGCACCCGCGGCATGCGGCCCCCTCAGGGCACGGCCGGGCGGCGCCGGGTGAGTGTGGGGCCGCGCCGGGCGCCCGCTCCCGGCCGCTCGCACCTGGGAGGGGGCGGCCCGAGGGGCGCGATGATGGATGTTCCCTCCATCCCTCCCTCGCTCTGCCCGCCCCGGGGAGGTGCCGGCCGGGAGGGGCGGAGGGGGGGGTTGGCAGCCCCGCCGGGACCCAGCGCGGCGGCGGCGGGGATTTTCGGAGAGCCCCCGCTGCCTGCTTGGTGTCGTGCGGCTCGGGGCTCGGCTGGGGCTGGGCGCAGGTGGCGGCGCCGGGGGCGCGGCGGGCTCGGAGCCGGTGCGGGCAGAGAGCGAGGCAGCTCCCTCGGGGCGCGGGGGGAGACCGGCGGCTCCTCTCTGCCGCTGCCGGAGCCCGCGACTTAAATAGAGGCTGTGTTTTGTCAACAGCTCATTCTGCTGGCCGGCAGGTTGGCTGGCTCGGGGACTGAGCAGCGGGTAAATACTATTTATGCCTATTTTATTTTATTGCATTTCATTTCATTTTATCATTTCATTTAATTTCATTTCATTTTATAAGTACCACCCTTTTGAAAAATGGACCTTAGGATGGGACTCCAAAACCTCTTCTGTATTTGGGGAGCATCCAGACATGCTGAGCGCCTGTCTGTGCACTGGCTGTACAGGGGCTCTGGCACAGCGGCAGCTGTGTCTGTTTTGAGTGATTGAATTTCTGGTGTGTCTAGGTACCGTGTTTGAAAACGATCTGTGAAAGCCTTTGAGGCAGTTCTGTAAAGAACGTTATTCCCTTGTAAGATTCAACGTGTAAATTTGAATTGACTGTTTTGTACTGGCATGCTGTGTGTTACTTCGGTAGGAATTGGTTATATGCTTGCTTGCTTTTTCAGTTGTCATTGGTGGTGAATGCCTGGGAAGTTTGCTATGAATGGGAGTGAAAATCTGGATAAGTATTATAATCACCTATTACTGAGGAGAGTGGGATAGTGAGCTGCTCTGTAGGAATCATTGCTCTGATTCTTTTCAAAAGACTTTTACACTTACAATTACCATTGCAAAAATAGTGATATATTTATATTCCATTATCAAGGCCATGTCCTGTCAAAGTTCATTCACGAAAGCTTGGGAATTTGGTCGATTTCTGCTGTATTTGAAACTCAGCTTGTTACCTAAGTAAGACAGTGTAACTTGCCTTTGATATCTCACCTGGAGGTCCATTCTGCCTTTTCTTCTTAGTGTAGAAGAAATATTTAAATTCTTCCTAAACCCATAGTTCAACCCCATGGCATGAACCCAGACTGCTAATAAGACTAAGTAGGTTTAGTAACTGTGAGAAAGATTGAATTCTATGTCATGCCATGTTCCCTCTCAAATCAGCATGTGGCATTGCCAGCTGAGACAGTATGTTTTTTTGGTGTAGATCCATCAGTGCCCACGTGCTCTATATATAAAGCTTTGCACATCCTGTAGGGAAGAATGCATGAATGCCTTGATCTGCAGAAAGTCTGTGCTTGTCCTTAGCTCATCAGCCATTTTATGCTGCATGATTTTGTGATAAAGATAACCTTTGATTTCTGTACATAAAGGTGAGAATAGACCTAGAAGTTTGCTGGATTTGCCCACAATTTGAATCAAGATCAAAACAAAAATTTGATGAGGGAAAGGATTGGATATGCAAAAGACAGGAGCAAATGCCATGAGTATATCCATAGAATGAGTAGCAAGCACCATATCTGCGCTTGATTATTATTTGTCAGCATGGCTATTAGCTGGAGATGGATCTGCAGGTTTCTTTGGAGAGGTCTAAAAAAAGGCAGACTAGTCTCAGTAGACTGCAGGACTGTGATCTACCTTGGAAAAATTGCAGAAAGTCACAAAAGGAAGGCTTACAAGTCATTAAGTTGGAGCTGGTTTGGAAGATAACTTTTAGGGAGTCAGTAGATCACCCAATTTTGTTTGCTTTCTGTTTACTAAGTATTTGCATCCTTTCATCTTATCTCTGTTTCACCTATTCAAACTTTTATCAGCATTTTTAAGTGATAACAGTTTCCATTGTGCACTCTCCAAACACACCACTTTAGTCACCTAGAGCAACCAGTGGCAAGCATTATCTGTGAATTAGATTGTGCAAAATCCCTTTACAGGTGTGCTGAGGAAAGGGAGAGACTTAACCTTCAGGTGAGGGCATTCTCTCAGACTTGCCGAAGGCAAATCAGAAATACATGGGAGCAGCCACATGGGTGGAGATGCTCCTCTCAAAGACAGGAGGACTTTTTCACAGGTTGCAAAGCTGCTGCTGCTACTCTAATAGGTGTTCATAGGACTTTAATTTCAGGCACTTGTTGAGTTACAGTCTCTGGCTATAAGGTCACATCTAGTTCAGCATCATGCAGACGAGGCTGTTGGAAAATGTTTAAAAATATATATGAATTTATTGACTTCCATATGTATTCATTAACGTCCAATGCTAGAACAGAATCTCTAAATGTATTAGAAACAGCCCTTTTAGAGTATAAATGTTGAATTGCTTAATCCAGTGAGTGTCTGACAGCAAATTATGTGCTTTATGAAAAGATATATTTAAAGATGTTTTTAAACAACCTAGATGTTTGTAAATACTGACTCTATCTTGCAGAATGCCATATATCCCAAGGCTGATGCAGATGGATTATGTTTTTCTTTTGCCCCTGAGATTTAGCTATGATTATTCTTTACTGGTAGGCATCACATTTGTCTAAAAAAAAAGAAAAATAAATTGCTTCTAGATAAGACTTGAGAAGTGCTCTATGCTCCAAAGCTGGTTGATACATTTTGTTCCATAAACAGTTTAATGTAAAAGATGACAATAATTTTTGGGACCCAGACCTGGAGTCCACGATCCTGCACTTCCAGTGAGTGTTGTCTCACAAGGACATGAGTGTAGCACTGAGTCAGTGGTTGCTTAGGCTTCAGAATCGACAGAAGGGCTGGAGGAGTCTTCTTCCTGACTCATCTGGCACTTTGGGTAGCCTGAGGTGTTTCTGATACCCCCCGCAAGTGCTGCAGCAACTTGGGTTGCCTCAGAAAAGGGAACATTCCTGCTGCTTTCTTCTCCTATATCTTTTAACAAAAGCAGCAGCTTTTTTCTTTGGAACCTGATTCTTTGGTTCTCTGCTCATTTTATCAGCAGGTACAAGCAGGGAGTGGTTGCTTTGTGAATCTTGAGGGTTTAAGCATCAGGCAAGTGATATGGTCCTGTCAAAGGTGGGACTGCATCTGTGCATGCTGATGCCTACAAAGTTTATCATCACCTCTCCTTTTATTTATTTTTTCTCTCTAATACTTGCCTGCAACTAAGTGGGATTTTCAAACACGTCTCTATTAAGTTGAAGCATCAAAATTTGGATTTTATACATGCTTAAATGCCTTCAGGCATGATCTACCAGAATCGTATGGATTTCTTCCAGAGTCATTAGCATGGCAATGAGGGGGGCCATATAAATTCCTTGATGAACAGACCTATTTTCTTACCTGTATTTTGCAGGATTGAGGGGCAGCTAGGATATCTACCACCAGAAAACACAGAACTCCCCTGTGTTCTTTGCCTTCCTTCCATACTGACTTTCAAACTAACAGATTTTAATTAGAATAAATAATCTTCGGAAGTTCTTATCTATCCCTGGGAAATGTATTTTGGGGCTGTTTTTCATGCACATTATCATTTATTTGCTGCTCACTGCTATCCTCCTTCCTCTGGAAAGTTTGCAGTCCCTACATTTACAGACTGTGGGAGCCCTGCTGCTGTGTGTCCGTAAGGTCCTTGAACTCCTGCAAGCACCAGAAGCTCAACAGGGCCTTTTGCCACTTTGCTGCTGTCTGCCTTTCCCTGCTGCTGTCTCTTGGAATCATTCCTAGCAGCAGGTTTTGCTGTAAGCAGAACGTGCTTAGGCTAAAAATAGCTCCTAAGCCATTGGTATGAATGTTGGTCAGGGTGTAAGGTTTTGAAGGGCATAGGCACCCCCTCCTTTCTGTGCACTGTCTGGAGCTGGCACTGCAGTGAGGTCAACTGTTGCTACAGCAGAACCAGCTTTCCCTTATCCCACAGGCAGGGAACTGCTGAGCTGTCAGCTGTTGAGTCCAAATTGTGCCTTTTACCTCAGGGAGCACAAGTTATAAAAGCACGTGTCATGGAAACAAGGACAGCACTGTGGCAATTCCCTGCTCCTTCTGCCTTGCTTCCTACCCTGCCAAAAATCAGGCCCTCGGCACAGCCCAGAGCAGAGGATGGGCTGCTGTGTTGGCAGGTTGGTTTTAGCACCACCTCCCCCCTCTCTTGGGCCATGTGTGTCAGGGTGCAGTCTCCTTTCTCATCCCCATGCCCCATGGCAATTCAGGGGCAGTTTCCTGCAAAACCAAAAGCACAGCCTTTCAGTCAGCCTCAGTCTTCTGAAATTTCCTTAAGTAGATAAAGATGTGCTTTCTTGAGGTTGATTTTATGTTGCAGCATTCTCTCCCCGGTCAGCCAGTTTCAGTGATACAGTATCACTGGTTAGGAAATTATTGTGGTGGGGTTTTTTTTCATTTTTGGTTGAGTTTTTTGGAGATTTTTTGGGGTTTTTGTGTTTTCTTTTGTTTTGGAGGGGAATGGCTCTATACTGATGAGTAATGTCATGCTGGTGTTCTCTGCCAGTATAGCTCACTGCATTTTGATCAACAGTTGAAAATACTTTATTATGGAGTATACATATATTCCAAAAATAGAGGTGTGCATTTATGCTTGCTTTGTACCTAAAGCTGCACTGATAACAGCTTTATAATATTGACTGATAGTTTCATATCAAGGTTGCCTGTAGTGCATAATCATGAGATTTAAATAAAGCAATGTATTTGAGTGTTTTCTTTAGGTGATAAACACTGTCTGAAAAGTATGCTGGAATGTTTCTTGTGCTTGCATAATTTTGTCATTATTGCACAAGTTGCTTAAAGGTATAATGAAAGTACAAGCAACAGGGGTGGTTGAGGGTGGTTTACACTGTCAATCTGGCTCAGAAATAGTCCATGTTTTACTTCTGGGCCTCAGCCATCCACTTAGGCTAGTTTTGCTCCCTGAATAAGTCAGCTACTTCTCTCCAAGAAGAAATGCAGGCTCAGTTGACTGTATGTAACTCAGGCACAGCTGAGCGTTTTTTCTGGATGGTGGGGATATGGCCTATGGCAAGGTTGGCTAGGGTGGTGAGCAGAGCAAGCCTGCTCTCTCCCACCTGGCTTGATGCCCTTGAATGCCCTCCACATTGTGCCCTTGGGCATGACACACGTTTCAGCCTAAAGCTTTAAAAAATTGCTCTTTCTTAATTTCAAACACTTTGAACACAGAAGAACAGGAAAAGCTGCTTTGCAGCCAGATGGTGCAAAGTTGTCACTTGCTGCAAAGTTGCCTAGCCCAGACTCAGGGTGGTCTCAAGCAGTGTGAAGGTGAGCCCCTCTGCAGCATTTAGGCTGTGGGTGAAGACACCTCCACACTGCAGTACATCAGGGTGGTCTGAGAATATCTGATATTCATACTTTCTTTTCCTTTATTGGCTGCATTTCAAACTACATGCCTGTTTGAGAGTCTCACATCCCACATACCTTGGGGAATCCATAGAAAAGAGAAATTTGGACAAGTGAAAGAAGAGTCTTGACTCTGCTCAGCGTGGGGCAGGTCTGGGCAGTTGCCTTTTGGGGTTATTTGGTGGTGTCTGCCTTAGCCTGGCAGCCCTTCTCCTTTCCAAACAGGATTTAGCACAGTCATCCAGAAGCTCTTGTGCCAAGACAGCAGTGCTGCTCATCATGTGATGTAACTATGTTTGTATGGCAGATCATGGTTTTGTCCTTCTTGAACTGGGTGCTCTAGTGGCCTCTCTTAAGTGAAGAAACAGTGAGGACAGAGCTTTAAAATATCTTTCTCAAATAATTAGTTTGAATATTACTGCAGAGCAAAAATGCTTCCTAAATAAAATAAACTTCAGGAGAAAATTATAATGGTCAGTATTATAGGTGAAGCTTCTGCAGATTTGAAGTCCAGAGGGTGAACGTAAGTTATAAGTATTCCAATTATAACTAATTTTCACAATAATTCATGTTTTCGATCAGGTTCAGCACTTACGGCAAGGGACGTGTGACCTCTGAGGTTTTTACAGCTACTCTGCAGCTAAAACCAGGGAGATAAGCTTCTCATGTTTAATCCTAGGCAGAAAAAAGAGAGGAGGTGAGAGAAAAGGGAAAAAAAAAGAAAAATATTTATTTTTGTTGTAAACTTATGCGTTGTCTTGAGTTATGTGCCACAATTACAGAAATACTGTGTGTGTGAGGTGAACTTAAATGTCAAACTCCTCTAGGGTTTCATCTAGTTGTGAGGATAATAACATCTGTTCCCTAGATTCTATCTGTTCCTCTTCCTTTTCCCCTCCTTCCCCCTGCTCCACACATTTCCAAAGGTCATGGCTGTGGGAAGCCTTTCATGCACAGGTCTCAAGGCACGTAACTCATATTTCATCTGCTAGAGCAGCATTGTCACAATTCCCAATATAGAACAGCCTTCTCCAAATTAAAGGTGATTGGTGATTTGTTTTTCAAGATGATGGGAAATTTTAGACCAAATGTTGCCACATATTTCAAAAGACAGGGTCACTCTAGATGTAAATCCAGCAAGATGTTGTGTGACCCTTTTATTGTAAGTCTTACCTCAAAGTCTGTATTTTGTACCTTTCATATTTCTTCCTTCACCATTAAAATTCTTCCTAAAGTGAGATCTGTGCATGATTTGTGCTAATCTAGTCTGATGGAGTAATGTGAACTAAAGGCTTTAATATAGTAAGACTTGCATTGAACCCATGTTTAGACTTTCTTAGTAATTAATACATCCAATCTTATTTTTATTTCAATCAGGTGACTCCTCCTGTGAGAACCTTTGCCAGTACTTAATTAGTTTGCTTTTCACAATGTTCACTTTTCAGTGGAGGTCTACTACATGGCATTTCCTCTCATCTTATACAGTGGGCTAAGTTTAAATCCTTTGTGTAGGTAGTTGAGAGCTGTGACCAAGTAATCTCTCTGAACTAAATAGTTACATTGTGTTAGCCTTTGCAACAACAGACCCAAACTGTTTAAAGTAATAATTTGATCCTGAGTATAAATCGACTTTGTACTGGATGAAACCATTTCCACTGCTAATGAATGGCTAGTTTTTCTCTTGTGTTCTTGGATCAACAGCTTTTGTAAGGTAGCTTGATCCATATAGAAAAAGTTGTTAGGACTTTTATTTACAATGTCTTTTATGTATTTATTTGCTTGATAATTGATACCTTGAAAACTGAATGTTTTCCAGTTCCTTCCTCATATTTCAGCTAGTGAGTGGTGCAGCTGGCATTAGCATGCAAAGAGTGCATCCTTGAAAACGTTAGTCTTGTCTGCTATCCTTTTCCCCTGGTGTATGCATACTTGCTAATCAGTAGGTAGCTCTGGTTGAAATTTGGGCAGTGATTACTGCAGACAGAAATGGGAGCAAGTATTCAGCATTACAATGGCTGCTGTAGAATTAGGTCACTAACAGGCTTTCAGCAAAATAGTGTTAATTTTCCTCTTCACACACTCAAACACAAAGTATACTTAAAATTTCACATATTTTGTGAGTGATCCCCAAGTGTGGCATTCCTAGAAATGGTTTGTGTGAGTCTTTCAGCTTCAGGTGCTTCATGTGAATGCACAGTTCAACATTCAGCTGTCCTGTACTGAAGACTAAAGAAAGAGCTCCTGCAGTTGGGCTCCTGCCAATAGTATATATATATATATATATATATATATATATATATAGTGCATACCTTCATTCAATAGTTAGAATTAGTCATATACTTATGTTTCTGAAATTCCAGAGCAATATGTGTATATATGTGGTTACTGAGGCTTATTATCTTGCATAAATCTGCAGTGAGTCAGTCACGAGCATCACTCCTTGGCTGTCAAATACCTCTCATCAGGGGACATAGACCTCGGATAGCATCCTCAGATAGCATTTAGCAGCTTTTTTCATGAGACCTGAGAACTAACATGAATAAGATGCTGCAATCTAAACCCAACTTTTTGATGAGCTGAACACTTTAAACATTTAACAAGTACTGGTGAAAATTGCCTCCACTCAATCTCTTCAAGTTATGACCATTAGTTTTTGCCATACTTAATGATAGTCACTTGGTTTGGTTTTAGTTGTTTAATTTTTCTTATTTGGACAAAATAAGCTATTAGTCACTTGCATTTCTAATACCTGCATAGGTATCTGATATTTTTAAGCTCTTCTACTGTGGTTTACAAATATTTTCTGTATATAATATTCTAAAGTAACATACTTATATCTGTGAGGCATATGTATTGGCATCTAAATATGTTTTGCATTTATAGTCTGTGTGCAGATTCTGTGAATAGTTCTTTAGTATGGGAAGTTGCAGAAATGGGAAAAGGAGAGTACTCTCCAAAGATGTTTGAGGTGGTGTTATTTGTGTAATGCTTTGTGAGTTCTAGTGACTTGCTTCATGATGAGATTGGAGCGAGCTTTTGTAGAATATTTCACAAAAGGAATAAAAAAATATGTGTTGGTGTTTCATACCATAAACTTAAATGTTCTGCCAGTCTGTGGATTTTGACAGGTGAACTTGTAAGGATGTGCTTGGCCTTGTGCATCCTGTGCCATGTGTCTGGATAGACCTGACTAGATTCATGAAGAGCAGAATTTTTCCTAAGGAATAGCATACTGGAATAGAAACTGAAAATAAACTGAAACAGAAGTTCTGATTCATATAACTACACCCAGATTTTAGTTCTCCAGCTCTTCAGGTTCCCCTTTCCCATGACTTTTCTTCCCTGTGTCTGGCACCTCAGTCTGCAGCCACCAGAGAGACCATTGAGAATTGTCGCACGTCTCTTGCTCCCGCAGTCGGACTTGCTCAGCACTTTGGAAACAATAGCTGCTTCATTGCTGACTTGTGAAACAGAAAAGTTAAACATATCAGCAACAATGCATGAAAAATGTGATGAACAACCTTCCACAGGAAGAGAGTTTTCCATTCTACTGTGTAGATATACAGAATTTATTGGTGTCAGAAGCTAATAAGTAAGAAATGCTTCTTCTTTTGTGCTTTATCTGCCAGCTCAGTGCTGAGAGGAGTAAACTGTGAGATTTACTAATAATAGCAGGAAGGAAGAACCCTGTTAAACATAGATAGAAAAGTTGGAATGATTTGTGTGTGTAAAATCCAAGGTGTTTTTTCCTCTCCTCAGCCCTTTTTTATAGTCACCCTTCAGAAGAGAAAACCAAAAGAGAGCTTCAGGAGGTGAGTCTCACTTTCAAAGGAGGATTGAGGGAGAAGAGGCAGATGAAAGTTATAGTATCATAATGATGGTCATGTGAAAGGGATGTGAAGATGTGAGACGTGGTTTTAAAAATTTCTATTTAATTTTCTTATCCTAACAATGTCAGAAGAGACTTGAGACTCTTGAGAACTGACTCATTCTATGACCTATTAGTAGCAGTCTCAATCTTGTATGAGCTGCTTTCAATTTTAAATGAGGTGTAGCATCACTACCCTTGCAGATGCTGCTGTCTCAGCACTTGCTGGTGAGTTATTTACAAGGAGTCAATTTTCTTAACTTCTAAAAGAAATTGCAGAAAAGCATTGTTTTATTTTACAATAGTAAAAACCATGGATCCTAGCCAGCATGTGTATTATTTTAAAACGTTCTTTTATCTTCATTGCTTTGTTTCTTCATTGCTTCTGATATCTTCATTGCTTTGTTTCTTCTTCTGAGCATTATTTTAATGGTGCAGGGTTGCCTTTACTATTTCTCCCTTTTGAAACCAGGACTACATCCCTGAAAAGTACTTTTATAGCACTATTTGCTATTCTGAGACCCTGAATGAAACACCTAAACAGCTGCTTTTTTTACATCAAGAAAAATAAACTTTCTGAGATAGAAAACCCCATCCAACAGACAAAATTTAAACTTCTCATTTATATTATTCTGAAAAACTTCAGGATTTTCAGCATCTTTTTTTGTGGACTGAGAGATTTCAGTCTATATTTGAGTTCTATTTACAGTCACCTAGCAGAAATTGAGAACAAAATTCGAACTTTCCTTCACGTTTTCTTTTTAGACCATGTGCTGCCTAAACTGAATGATCAGTCTAAATTATTGGAAACAGAAAGCTGGGTGTTAATTTACTTGTAAAACAACTACATCTTGTGCCTCTTGCGTTGTGATAAGTGGTTTGTTTTAGTTAGGGCAATACATTTAAGGAAGTGCTGCATTGTAGAGGGGGTAAGGAGCACGCTAAAACTGATGTGAGGTTGTGTGTTTCTTGGCAGCATCAAAGTCTGTTGGATGGGTAGAAAGGATAACATGAAAGAGTCAGTGTTTTGAGGCACTGGGTTGCTGAGGTGCTGCAAGATCTGCAAGTGGACCATAAACCCTTTGCAGGGACCTGTGTTGGAGGAGCAGAGCTAAAAAGGAGGAGTAGTGTTGCCCTCAGAAAGCTGGGTAAGTGTGCCTGAGTGTCTTTTGGGTCCCTGGCTCCAGTGGAAGCTGTGAGCAGCAAGAGAATGAGGGAGTACTGTTACCATAAGCAGGCATGAGAGTGAGCCCATGTACCTGCATGAACTGTGTGGTTAACACGAATTTCTTGTAGCCTGTGTCTATGAGACTTAATTAGGAAAGAGACTGTCTCCAGTGTATTAACTAGAAGTCAATATTTGCTGAGTACTTAATTCTCACACTTTGCCACCTTAAAAGGAGGGACATGCATGTATATATGTGTAAGTGAAAAAGTCCAAGGGTAACAAAGTACAATTAAAACAGCATTTGAAGGAAATAAATGAAGGAAATACAGCTGCTACGTAATTACACATGGACTGACTTGTTCTGATGATGTCCTGCTGCATTGTAGACCTTTCTCCTTTGTCAAGATTGGAAGGGGAATAGCAGCATTGAGGGCCCATTTGTGTGCAGAGCAGAGAGGAAAGTGTTTGCCCACCCCAGTGGAAGGGTGGTAATATGCTGCAGTATGTCTTCATGTGATCTGTCAGATACTTATTAAGAGAGGAACTACAACCAGTCTTGAGAGCTTTAGTCTCAATAAAGATTAGTACAACAGGAATTCATCAGAAAATATAGATCTGTAGTTTCAGGAATTGCGCATTTCCTTGATTAGTAAAAAAAATCAATTTATTTCTCGTAACTGATTCTCATTCCTTACATTCACTCTAAAAGGATATTGCATAACTGTTGTTCTTTACTCTCAATATATTATTTAATGCGAAAGCTGCATTTCAGCATTTGATCTATTTATGTGCTCTTTGTACGCGTGAAAAGAGACTTTCTTTGGATTTTGTTCATTGTACCTTAAAAATAATTTGAATACCACAGGTTTTATTGTAAACAATGAAGGATTCCAACCCTTGGGTCACTGCCGGTTTTTTAAAAAAACACACTTGGAATTGCTTCAGTAATTATCAGTGTTCTCTTATAAGACTAATTAGGCTTTTCCTGTGATGAAAGAAGATTAAAGGTCATAAAGTTCAAAGTAAGTTTTTGGATATTTCCAGATAAAGGAAAATAAACTCTCATTAATAAGGTCGACTTCTTAAATGTGAATTCATAAGGGTGTATGCGCTGAAGAGAACCAGCTGGGATAGTATTATGCAGATAACATGACTCTTCTAAGGAACAGCAATTTTATTCTGCAGTCTTTATAAAGACTGAGTGATGTTGTCTGGCCCTTGAACCTGATATTGAGTAAAGTGCAGCTCACAATGTGGGCAGTTGACATTTTCTTCCGAAGACATGCTGTTTTGAGAACTACACAGTGGCTGACAGTACCCTCCAAAACTGAAATGTGCTTTGAAATAATTAGATTATATTTACTTCCAGTTGCATGTCAGTAAAATGCAATAAGCACTGGAGAAGTGGAAACTTCTCTGTATGTTTTCATTGGATTCTTGTCTTATGTACTGAAAAAAATAAAGGTGGGTGCATTTTTTTCTATGCTTTTCACCTGTATTAAGCATTGAAAAGGCATAGTGGATAGCCACTAAGAGGTATTTTTTAGTAATCAGACTTGTGTGCATTTGCTCACTGTGCTTGTTCCATGCTGTGTTGCAAAGCACAAGAATTCAAGGAAGTGTGTTGATCATGAGGTCACCAAATTCAAGCATATCAGGAAATGTGTGTAGTTGAATCAGATTTATTAAAGTACATCCTTCGTCTCCATGCAATATTAATTTGCCAGTTGTAGTAAATGTCAAGAAAAATTTTGAATGGGGTAAAAGGCAAGTGTGTAAGTGACTCTGAGCTGTTTCCTTCTCCTGCACAGCACAATAACCTAGATCAAAAATTCTCTTTTGGCCAGTAGCATCCCTTAACCTTCACCCCTTTGCTTTGTTCTTTGTTCAGATGATTAGGTGTTTTCCATCTGCACCTCTATGGCAGGAGAATCTGTGCTTGTTAATTTGAGCTGACTTCCTAAGGAAGCTGGGCTTATCTGATAATGTGTTGTCCCCTCACCCTGGCAGTAACCTTTGGACACACTGCTCGAGTTCAATTCAGTCAGGACAAGGAGGTGAGATCTCAGCATACTGTGTGCTTACAAACTTGGTGAAACTCAGCATCTTGATGGAGAAACCCTGCTGAGGAAATGGCTGCAGAGTGAAGTCAACCTTTACTGTTTTTCAGTCCAGACCTTTCTAGCGTGCCTTTTCTGATGTCTAATAAGGCCTAGGGGTAATCTATAATAATATTGTCCTAATATGTAACAACAATAAATCACAAACAGGCTTGCAAATATCCCAAAACATATTTAGTCTATTTTTGGTAGTATTTGGGTTCACTGTGTTTCACAGAAGAGTTTGTTTTTTGTTGTTACCATCTGGAGAGCAGTGCTGTGCTCCTAGTAGTCATTGGTGTGCTTGTATTTAAACATGTACTTGATGACTAATTGATATGGCAAGGACATCCAAAATTAGGAGTGAGACTCCCAGTTTTCCTTTGAAAGTGTCTTCATTCTTCTGAAAAATCTCATGCTAGGAGCACTGAACAATGCGTGAAAAAAATTACTCTAGTAGGACTAAGAGTTTTTAAGTTAGCATACAGTTTAATTGAGAACAGACATATGAGAGCAAAAGGCAAAGTGTCCAAAATGCATATTTTGCTTGAAAAGGAAGAAAAGTCACCTAATAAGTTACCTTTTGATTGTGGTAGAAAAATATCATCAGTTGCTGCACTGTTCCTTTGCTTTTATTGCCCTTTCAGTCCACTGCTCTGCCTGAGTGCTCCACCTCTTCAGTATCACTATGCTTTTTTCTCTCCAGCTCATCAATCCCAGTAGGGGTATTCTTCCCAGTGGTCTCTGTCTTGTTCGTGTTTGGTGGGGGTTTTTTTGGTTTACATGAGTAACATGAAGGAGTCTTCCACTGTACTTTCCAAAACCATCTCAAAATTGTATACATTGTACAAATATGAAGTATTTGATGTCTGCTTCTGCTACATGTTTTTCTTTCTTTCAAAAGGCAGGTCCTGAGAGTCTCGATTTTTGTCTATGTGTTGTGCTCTCCAAGAGGTGCTAAATGCTTTAGTAAAATCATCCTTGTGTTGTGGCACTTGTTCATGAATTTGTCATCTCATGCCCTTGCCAGGGAAAGGTGCTTCTCATGCAAATCACCACCTGGAAATAGCCTGCAGCTTTCCCAGTCTGCAGCTTGCTTATTTGTGTTTCCATACTGTCTAACAGTCCTGGAGTCAGAAAAAAAAAAAGGAAGAACTAAAACTACTGGAATGCAGGTGCAGTTCCAAGTTGGCCTTAGAAGCTGAGACAGGTGACACACTTACTCCATCTGGGGTGCACTTCTACCCCGTTGGTAAAATTTCTTGCTAAAATGCCTGTGTCTGTAGGTGGTGCTTGAGACCAGGAGCTTTGAAAATGAAGCGCTGAAGTGTTGATCCTTGCACTGAGCTGGTCTCCTGACTCCTCACTTCTCCTTGCAGAGGCGGGCTGGGGTGCCCGCAAGATTAACTGCGGTATCTCGGAGGTGATGCTGCTGTTTGGCAGCTAGAGGAGGCAGTAAGGAGGGAATTTCTCTTCTTGTGCTTGACAGGAAAAAGACCCTGACAAAACAAATGTCTCATAGGACTGTGAGTCTGGCCTTGTGTACTCCTGCACATTTACTGAATAATATATTAACACCCTGTCTTTGTTTTCTTTTCTTCCGCTGCAGATTAGAAGGCATTTGGTGCAGATAGGAAACTTAAATTATTTTATCAGCTTTCAGAAAAAGAAATAGCAGATTTTTAAATTAATTCCTCAGAACCGGGGAAAGCCATATTCCCAAATGGGACTCAGTCTCCGTTTATAAACAAGTTTCAGTGATTCATGTCCTGCAAATCTTTAATAAAGTGGAATAGTGCCATGTTATAAAACAGAGGGAAAGCCTGCATCTAGATTACTAGAGATTTTTGTCTCAACTTTGGAAATTTTTTCAAGGAGGTGAAAGAATGTACTCTATTGAAAAACAGCCAAGCTCTCTCTCCCACAGATAAATCTTATTAATTCTTTTTTTCTTTTTTATTACTCAGCTAGCCTTAAAGTCAAAGACTGAAGCCTGTGGGATCAGCTGTGCTAAAGAAAGGCAGTTCATCTTCTGTTTCTGTGTTCATTGCTTTTACTGTCAGCTGTATTGGCCATTTGCTTGGTTTCCCAGAAATGTGTACTTCTGGCATGGTTTTTCAGATAGGGGAATTTTTTTGGAAGTTTTCAGTTGGCAACAGTTCAACAGGCAACATAACTTGATATATGCATTATTACCTGGATGTGAGTGTGCTTTTTCACTTTGAAGGTTGAATTAGTATCCTTCAGCAGAGATAAGTAAAATGATCTTTCTCCACCTGCTGAGGAGAGTAATTTTTCTTCTAGAAAGGTTTGATCTAGGCACATACATATCACCTGCATTTCTGCCTGATAGTATTTGGGATGATGGCTGTCTAGTATTGCCAGAAATGCAACCTCTTATCATTCTGTACAATATTTTGATAGTATGCTATGTAATAATTTTCCTTGAGAGCTTTTAATATCCCATTATTGATAAATTATTGTGATACCTTTAGCTATGGAGGCAAAATAAAAATACTAACTTGATAAAATTTATTGACAAAGAGACTTCTTCATTTGCCTTTACTACATATATTTTTACTGATTTCATGGTTTCATCTAGACTTCTTGACTTAGCTTCCTAAACCTTTTGTATAAGCTGACTTTTTAACCATTTCTTTTCAAGTATCGGCTTATGGAGCAGAATTATATATATAAAAACTCTGGCAACTAATCCTCAATTCATAGACATTTTAAAAAAATGTATCTGGAGGCTTGTGACTGTCAGATCAGGCTGCAAGCAAAAAGCAGGCTGGAAAGATTATTGATTTTTAAATTTTTTTTAGCTGTTTTGTTTGTTTGTTTTCAAAGTGGTTTCCAAGCACTTGACAATGAAATACATTCAGAGAACAGAAAACTCAAAAGTACAACAAAGCTTTGAAGAACTTTTGTGCTTAGAGAACTGGTCTGTTACAACTGACTAAGAAAACACTTTTTTTTTTTTAAGAGAATTGAGCATTTGGTCAGCTATGCTAAAAAAAAAAAAAAGATACACAGAGCCAGTTGATCCAAGAAATAAGTAATAACAAACACAGTCAGAAAGAGACATGCTAGTTATTTTCTGCTTTCCCCTTTAAGAGGTTAAGTCTAAAGAGGCTGGTAATATCTTAGCTGCCCTCATTTCTTTGTCACAGAGCCTTTAACCTTCTTTACAGCTGACAAGGGTTTGAGGCAAAGCTGTCCTCACATATTTTCCCATTATTGTCTTGGGGTACTTTTCCCTTTCTGATCTATCTGATCATTACAGATAGATACAGTGCGTAGATGCACTGACTGCATCAAAATGTCTTTAAAAGTAATTTAAAAGTCCGTGATAACTGTTGACCTCTTCTAAATATTGGCCACCAACTGCTGGCTTCAGTGGTTAAGAATCTGAATCTAACTGCTCTTCTGCTACCTTGTCTATGTAAAACGAAATTCAGAATTTCTTTTTTCTGACCACAGGTGCAAGGGTAGCGTGACATAAAGCCCTGGGCAGAAGTTAGGGCATTCCCATGTGCTCTGCCTTCCAACACTTATTATGGAATCCTGCTTGTAGGAGCTGCTCTTAAAGAAGGGCAGTTTACACTGAAGCCTGTCATTCATGCCTGCTGTTGTTATGGCATGAATTTGCATGTGAGTACTTTCTGTATGCATCCGCAATTTTTTTAGCATGGATTTTTGGGAGGCTCTTTCCATATTTTAAAATTTCAAAAGTGAAAGACCTTTTTTAGGCAAAGATTTTAAAGTGAATTTGCTGTGCAAACACACTCACGCTCAGTCAGGAGGTTTGCAGTCCATTTGAGGATGAGATTGGAGTCTGAAGTATTAAATAAACAGCTACGTGGCAGCTTTGTGCAGTATCTGAGGCTGGATCACACACTGATATTGAGTCAACAAGGTCTGAATGTAGGAAAAAGCAAATATGTCATGGGCTGTGTAAACACATACATTTGCCTTAGGAAAGTTCCTTCATTGTTCTTCATAATGCTCAGGCCTCAGGGCAGAGATGTTTCAAAACTATGTATACAGCAGCTTTGGTTCACTGAGAAATGTTTATTCCAGGAATGATCAGACATCTAAAAACTGAGACTGGGAAATGGTGAAAAAAATTGGAGCTTTTAAGGGAGGCGCTATTGGAGATCTGATATCAGTCATCTTCTATGTAAGAGGTTGCTGCAAGGCAGAGGATAAACTGTTCTTTTTCTGCTGGAGATAGGACAAAGTAATGTGCTTAAAATGGACCAGGAGATAGTTGTGGAGCACATTTGGAACACTGATGACAATGCCAGTGAAGTGACATGAATATACTGCCCAAGGAAATGAGATTGTAATGGGATGGGCTATTTTTTTAAGATGGACAACTGTTAAAAATGGTTTAATTCCAGTAGATTTTTCTAGTTGAGACAATGGACTTAACACCCTTCATACTGTTTTTAAAAACAGAGACCTGCAATGTAAAGACAATTATACTTAGTAACATCTGGTCTGGTTGCACTCCAGGCAACCATGGTTAAGGTTTTACCTTCTTGGGACAATGTTGACCTCTCTTGTACTAAATAAATATCCATGCTTCTAAGAGTACCTCTGTCTGGAGGATAATGTGCTTTTCATATCTTTCAGGGTAAGGAAAAACATCCATGCCTTTTTTGAGTTAGTCTTGAACTGATGGAAGGCAGCTTTCATCCAAAGAAAGTAAACTACCTATTTTTAAAGTACTTGAGCTATTTTGTAACTTTTTAATTAAAACAAGGCTATAAATGGGAATCTTTTCTCCTGACTAATGGCATTTAATTATGTGACATGTGGCTTCTAATTGCCAACTTTTCAGCAAGTTATAAAATGTGAATAAGAAAATAAGAGCTAGGGAATTTATTTTTGTTATGAAAGATCATGGTTTACAAAACTCTCATCATACCCTGCATGAGACTGCATGGGTTCACTTCTGTGCCTGACTCTGAAACTGAAATTAAAACTGTTAATTTCTCCTAACTGTTTGAGTTAGGAGAACTTGGTATGACTCAGATTTCTTGTAATGCACTGCTATGATGTTACTCTTAAAACTTCTGCAGTAGGAGGACAACTCAGTGAGCTACGTGTTGAAAGAGGTGCAAAAAACCAGATTTTCCTTAAATACACACACACACATACGTAGTTGCTGAATCTACCTCATAAACCTGGCATGACTGAACAGGTTTTGCATGTATCTACACAGGTTATATGTTTAGAGACTTGGGATTAACATTAAAAGCTTGAGATTTAATTAACATCACAGCTCAGTTCTCTCTTCTTCAAATGGAATCAGTGCCTTTTAATCTCTCCTTGACTTTGCCAGCTGATGGAGGACTGTCAATTGCTTGTGCTCTAGAGCTTGAAATTCTGGGTGTGGACTTTTCTGCAAACTGGAAATAACCTTTTAAGAAGTCCTCAGAAAAAGATAAAATTTACATATACTTCACAGACTGAAATAGAAATCAGTCATTTTATTCATGTAACTTCCAGGCCTGTCTGAGTGATATTCACTCTTTTTACAAAGTTGGAGGTTTGTGAGCAATGTTTAAACCTGGAGAGAACATTATGTATTTTCAAGAGTAACTTAGAGAAATACAATATGAGTACTCTGAGATACACCAGAATGCAGAGGGAGAATTTGGCACAGAGATAAATATATTTTCTGTGCTGGTTGGTTCTTGATTCATCTTTTCCTGGATTTGTCAACCTCTGCTCCTGATCTGCACAGCAGATCTGCACAGCTTTTAACAAGCTGCACAGCATGGATATTACAAATTTGGAATATATGAAAATATATACTCTGTGGTGGCAGTATATCTTAAATTAGTATTTGTTTTGTGAGGTTTTCAAATTATTTGAGAACATGCTGAAATTAAAATAATTACTAAGCTTTATGGGTGCCCCTCCATATGTAACAGTGCTCTTGACCATAGCATTTCTCTCATCTCTTGTGCTGCCTAGACCTTTCCCTCAACCTGGTTATTGCAGACCAAGAGAAATGGCCTCTTGTGAGCAGCTCTGGATTATTTGGCATAGTGCTGCTGTGTTTCTCCTCACACAGGGCATTTCACACATTTCCAACTGTCCCCTAAGGGAAGATTCCTTAAAAAAAAACCCAAACAAATGAAAAACCTAATTCATAAAAATACAGGGGATGAGGGAGCACAGACCTGGTGGTGCAGGGAACTTCAGTGTAAAGGGGTTTCTTTTAAAATTACAGAGACTTTTACACAAAATTTGTTATTCTAATGATGTTTACCTGGCTTTGGAAGATATTTCTGAGTCAAGGTCAGGAGCCTTTCAAAGTAGGATCCTGGACAAAATGGGAACAAAGCTTCTCTGTAGGACAGGTAGGCTTGGTCATATTCTAACATGAAAATCACCCAACTCCTGCTGTTTGTTGCTGAGAAGACCTCTGGCTACATGGTCTCTGGAAGGGTGCTTATGCCTTCACAGACTTCAGGTAGCAGGGAAACCATGCACCAGGTATTGACTGAGCTTCTAGATAGGTTTCCCTGCAGTTTTTCCCTTTTGAGAACGAAATCTGACAGTGGATGATGTGTGATTAAACTGAATTTACTGGGGTCCTGCTGAACAGCTGACCTTCTCTTTTTAAAACAAGAAGCTTGTTAAATCTTCTATGAACACACTAAACATAATATTCCAGATAAGTTTTTACGCTAAGGCCAGTAGTTACAACAAGAATTATTTTTTGATAAAGAAATGGCTCACTTTTTTTTCTCCATTATTTTTCCTCCAGGGGTTATTAGTTAACACTGGATTGAACCAGTGATCTCGGGTGATCAGATATGGTTCGGCAGTATCTTGGGTATCCCATAGCTTTGAATCACAGCTTTTTGAAAATTGAGCAGAGGAAAGAAGAAAACAGATGGTGGACAGGACATTCCCATTCACAGTATACAATATCTTTGTAGATCTGGCATTTCATCTAAGATGAAGAGCCTTATCCTAGGAGAATACTCTGCCATGTCTGTTCTGTCCTAATATTAGATAGTCCTGAAGAGTACCTATGACCTGCAGAGTTTTATATGTCTATGATTCTTGAGGAAATGTCTTACAGAAAATGCATGAATCAGGGAGTTGTTGTAACAGAGAAGAGGTTTGTTTGCCAGATGAAGGAAAAGGAGTTGCTATGCCTGGGAGCATTACTGAAGAAGAAAAGTGTATGGAACAAAAAGTGGTATTTGTGGCATACCAGGTCCAGAATTTAAAACTTTGGTCTTTTTTTTTTTTTTTTTAAATTTATTTCTGTATTTAATTTTAGAACTGACCAGCTTGTTGGAAGATGACATTTACTCCTGCTTAAAGCTGCTATTCTTAAAACAAACAGTAGAAGAATGTGGAAGAACTCAAGCCTCCGCTGCCTTTTAGCACTAGCTATTTTATTTTTAAGAAGCTTAGTGTACGGCCAAGAGATAGGTAAGTTTATTGCAATGTAATTCACTAACTCCTTTTTCTCTGTAGCTTCTGTACCTTGTAATTGCATTGCTTTCCTACTATATGTGTGTTCAAAACCTGTCACCTCTGTGGCCCCGCACCATCCCAGGATGGAGGCAGTGCCAGGCCTGGTCTCTGCTTTCCACCAGCACCCAGCAGCATCTTGGAAACCAGTGCAAAACTGGGTATTAAATTCTCCATAGTAACCACTGATAGTCTGCATGTGCATTGGTGTAAATGTCTGCATTGAAACCTTTTTGCTGTATATATTGGCTCTCTTCAGCCATTTCACACATATTCATTAACTGTCCTTCTGTCATTAATTGTCCTCCATGTATAACATGGAGGAGAGCAAAAAACTCATTATGTTAAAATCAAAGCTTGTGGTTTTGCCATTGGCCCAAAGCCTGCTTATTAGGCTAGGCAAGGAACGAGTATTGTGGAAAGAGGCAGCTGCCTCTGTTATACATGAGTTTAAATCCAGATCTCGGGTACCTCTACAAGTCTGTGAGTCGGTGGCTGTCTAATCAGGCACACAAATCATTCAATAGTTTTAAAATACTGGCCAGACATGCATGCAATAAAAATTTAAGGAGAATGGCTACAGATGTGAAAAATAGCAGTTGTTTTACAGTTGCTCATTTTTGACCTGCAGTTTTTTACTGTATTTTTTATATTATTTCAGGCTCTCCAGGGGACCCCCAGAATTTGAAATGTGTAACGCACAACTTACATAAAATGCTCTGTACTTGGGATGTCTCTTCTAGAGGAAGACATGGACAAACTGACTTTTGCTACACTACCAAGTAAGTCCCTCCACATACCTGGTTAAAAAATACCAAATTGTGATGAAGGTACAGTTTTTCCTCAGTCACTGCCCATGGAAAGTATGATGCTGTTGTTTCCCAGCATCTCCCCACCAGTTTTCCTTGGGTGGTGCTTCCCCTAGGCCCTGTTAACTCAGTCAATGGCAGGGTTTCTGGCAAAACTGTTCCATGCTAATAATTTGCCTGCCAATATCTGCTTGCTGTTTTCAAAGGACTGGAAGATGCTCTTATTTACTCAGACTTCTCTGTGTGTCTGCCTATCCCTTGCTCAGAGTTTTCCTGAGAGATAGCTTCAAAACAGGTTCAGTCCAAAAGGAAATGAGAGTTGGAAGCAGTGAATTCTGATGTTGTGGGCCAAAGCAGTAGAATATATGACACAAGTGTTGAGATTCACGTGGATTTTGTGTGGAAAAACATGAACAATCTCTCAGCAACTGTCTTAGAACCTTTATAAATTTTAAGCTGTATTAGAGGAAACATAAAAATTATTTCACAATTGAAACAGCTTTTCTGAAGTGACTGCAAGTTGAAAATTTTGAGAAAAGTTAAAAAAACTTAAATCTTCTGTGTGTTTTTTCACTAATGAGAACTACATGTTCAATTCCCCATGCTGTGGATCTGCCAAATACTTATCATGTGCTAGGGATGAGTTCAAATCCATTCTGCATCTTGATCCTGCCCCCAATCCAGATATTTGTACTGTCTTTTTGTTTTCCTGCAAATTCTGCAGGCAGCCCAGACTTTTCCTTGGGGTCCCAGGGCTTGGCTGCACTTAGTCCACCTACATGCTTGATTTTCTGTGTCTCATTATTCCTGCTGCATTGCCAGCTATCATTCCTATTTTAAAAACACCATATATATGACTCTGTGGCCAGAGTTCAGGAGTGCAGAGTTCATGAGGTACTGCCCTCTGAACAGGAACAGTGATGTAGCTGCTGCTGTTTCTCCTTAGCAAAGCAGGACAGGCTGGGGTCTCTGAAGCAGAAAGTCTGAGATGAGCTTGCAGACATCCCTGAGGGAAAGAGGTTTTGTTTTTCAGTTGCCCAAACATCCTCTAATAATATCTCAGTACTGAAGAGGAACAGCCTTTCTGAGCACTCAAATCTCAGCTGGCCTTTGCTAGCCCAGAATCTGGTGTGAATCTTAAGAGTTCAACCCAAGCTCTTGACTCCAGCTGATGGGAGCTCCAGGGTCCTGTTCCAGTTCATAAGTGAGTAACAGTCCCTCAGCAGGAAGTCTGGCATTGTTCTCTCTGCTTTCCTTCCTGCCGTCATTCCCCCAAGAGGAAGGTCTGGATTTTTCCAAACTTTCTGCCTTTCTAGTTGCATATCAGTGATAATGAGCAAAGGGACTTGACCCATCCATTATTGTTTCCTGTATATATCTACATCTTCAAGACAAAAGCCAGATCACATTGTACTGAGCACTGCACAAACATTAAGCACGGGCTACATTTTCACCTGGGATCTTAGGAATCCTCTGCCATGCTCTCTGCTCTTTCCCTGTCAGCTGAGCAGCAGAAGGGAGCTAAAGATCTGTTCTAAGATGTGGACGTGGGGAGTAATCCTTCTCTTTCAATCCATGTGAGGGCATATGGGTTGTGAAGAAATGGAGGGAGAGTGAGTCAGGAGACACAAAGGGAGGGGGCGATGCTATTAGGTTTGGTTTGGGTTTTTTTGTTTTTCTTATTTCGAAATGTTGATTCATGGTGACTAGGTTTCAGAAACATGTATTTTGTTGGCCTCAAGTGTAATTAGATGTTAAGAAAATTTTTTCACAAAAAGGTTGCAAAGCATTGGAACAGAGTGCCCAAAGAGTTGGTGGAGTTGGCATTCCTGCAAGTGTTAAAAAGCATGTGGATATGGTACTTAAGAACATGGTTGAATGGTGAACATGGTGGTTGTGCTAGGTTAACAGTTGCATTTGATGACCTTAAAGGTTTTTTGCAACCTTAGCAATTCTGTGATTCTATGATTTTGGTTAAAAAGCAAGGTCTTCACTTTGAAGTGTTCTCTTAACAGCTAGTTGGTTGCATTATGCAGCCATTGCACAACCTACCACTATGATAAAAGTGACTTGAAAGATGAGGGAATGCCATTAATCTGATACTAATCAAAGCCCAAGCAAGTCCTTCACAAACTCAATATGGAGTTTTCTATTTATTACAGAGAATTTGTATTTTATTAGTGTGCAAGAACAGGACTTAACTTGCCTTAGTTTTCTATCAGCTGAAATAACTGCTTAATCCTGTTTGTCCTTTTAGTGACCTTACCCCTCAAGTCTGTTTCAAAACTAAGGAGAGGAGGGTTGAAATTCCAATCCCAGAGAGCTCCATCACAGTGACAATCAAAAGCTCTGGAACTGCTTTTGCTGCCAGAGAATTTGTAATTCACCAGAAAGACATCTGTAAGTATCAGGTCATATGTGTGTACCTAAGGCCTTTATACTATGTTTAACAACTTTTCAGATGCTTGCAGGTTTCTTTGGCAGCGTTCCTGTATGTAGAATGTTGATATACTGACTCTATGAAAAGCTTCCATATATTTTTATAGATTGTGTTCTCTAACCCTTCAAAAGAAAAAATACTCCTCTTACCCATAGTTCATAGCATAAAAAAAATCAAGGGCAGAATGTGACAGGAAAACAAAATACAAGAATGTTGCATCCCTCACTCTTTTCCCTTTTTAGTCCTAGTTATAAATTAAGAAGCATTTGTAAACAAATTCCTAAACTACCTACATAAGTAAATGAGACTTTTTCCTGCTTCCTTCCAGGCAAAGAAGGAAGTTGTAAACAGAAGATGACAATGATGCAATCTGCCATGCTTGGTCTAGTTTTTACCTTTGGTTTGCCTGCTTACTCCTTCAGTGTAGTCAAATTCTGATGTCAGTAACACTTCTTATCCATGGTTCTGTTTTCAGTCAAGAGCAGCTCAAGAACTTATACAAAATGCAATTCAAAAATATTTGTGATAAGTCTCTCAGTTCATCACAGGTTATTGTGGGCAATGTATTGATTGTGCTGAACACTTTGCAGGCTCTCGGATCCTTGGTCAGGACTAAAGCTGGATGTATCACATATATTTCTAAAATGTTTTAGCTTGCACTATGCCAGATAAACTGCTATAACCCTTGTATTACCAAGATTCTTCCCTGTTTCTCAACCTCTTGCTTCACCACAACACATTTTTAGAAGAGATGCTTCTGTTTATTCTCCCTGTCCTGTCCCTGTCAGGATCTCATGTCCTTAATGCTTCTTGTAGCTTAAAATCACTTTCCCTGTGATCTTCAGAACCTCATTGGAGCTTCTTCTATCCTGTGCTTCTGGTCTCCTTCCTTGTCACTCTCACTTTTTGTTGCAAGTTCCCACTTCCCTACTGGTCTGCAAAACATACATCTTCTTTTGAGGATTTTTTCCCCACCATTCTCCCTAGAAGTGTTCTCATGCACACTTCAAACACTGCCACCATATTTCCTTTATCACTATGGTATTGAAGGAAAGTTGGGAAAGATGGGATATCATCCCTGCTATGCATTGCAAAGAGTCATATTCACAATCAGTTACTTCCCCATCTACATGCTGAGGTATTAAAAGAAAATGCTACCTGATGATTCATCAGCACCTATGCTTTCCTGAGAACTCTCATGCTCAAGTAGCCACAGAGCCTTGTTCTAATTACAGAGGTTGAGTTACATGTTTATGGCTACTAGCCAGTTCAGAGCACAGGGATGTGGCTGTTAAACACCTGTAGGGCTGGTGCTGCTGACTAATGACCTGAAAATGACTTTTTCTTCTCCCCTGCCTCTGTTTCAAGCCTTTGTTCCTGTCACTCCACACATTCTTAGTTTAATGCCTGACTTTCCAACTTCCACATTGAATCTGAAGTGGAGTGATAATGGATCAGTCTTCCCATATGGACTGGATGCCCTTTGGCAGATTCAGATACTCCGAAAAGAAGCTATGGAAGTAGTCACACAAGTAAGTCCCTTTCTTCTCTTATGAAAAATATATGTACAGTTTTTGCCTTTTGTAATGTTCTGAGATGTCACTTGAACAAAACTGGGAATGATGAAGATAGTAGAGGTTTGCAGGACCTGAGTGTAATTATGCTTCTGGCAGGTAACTTCTTGTTAAATTTCACAGTTATGGGAAACCTGGCTACTGTACTGTTGGTACTTAGTCACAGCAATTTTTTTTTTCTGGTACAGGGACTTTGGAATTAGAACTTACTTATGAATTTGGCAGATACTTTACATCACTGTCTCTGTATCTCCAACAGTGTCTCCAGTCTTGGTCATCTCTGAATGCTCAGCTTGCTATTTTCTTTTTTTGTAACCAGAGTTCTTCCAGGCCAGTTTGTAGCTCTGTGCTATCAATTTTAATAGTGGACAAAAGATGAAATGTACAGCCTGGGACTAATATTAGAAGAGTTTTGTTTTGGAGAAGGTGAAACATTTAGCTGCCTATGAGATTCCCGGGGTGCAGTATACCTCTTTAAATGCTTGGGAATCCTCTTGGTCTCCCTCAAATGTCTGCCCTCTGGTATTTCTGGCTGACAGTCTGCCTAGCAGTTAGGCTGTTTAGCCACTAAGACTTTTGTCCAGGTAAAGTCATAAAAGTTAGGTAGAACACTCCAATAATCAAGGAGGATTTTATGATTTGCTTCACCTAATGCCATTCTATTGACACTTTGGAGATTATATGTCATTATTAACAGGCGTTCATAAGCTCTGTCTTGGTTGATTTCTTGGTGCAAAACCTTTGCAGGTTACTTACTACTCAAAACTGACTCATGAAGATGCCATTCTTTCTTGGAGCTGGACATCAGATGTGCCTTTGGAGTGCACATCACACTATGTGAAGATTCGCTGTTACATTAATGCAACACAGTTTGTTGGCCCCAAGGATTGGAGTGCCTGGAGCCCGGCAAAAGTGATCCCTGGTATGTTTGTTCCCTTGCAACCACATGGACTTTTATTTCTTTATAAGAATTAAGCCAAGGTCAGAGGAAGAGCATTAGGTGGTTAGCATTAGGAGGAGCATGGGCTGCTGCCTTTGAGACTGTTATGATTAGGGAAATAGTGTAATCGCTAGTTAATGAAACCTAGCAAATATTTATTTGTATGCATTGGAGTGCTCCTCAGTCACATTTTAGCTGATCATCACTGTGTTTACAGCAAATTGTTCATGTGAGGTTTCTTGTTTGTTTTCTTCCTTCTCTGCTAGGAAAAGATACCGAGCCTGGTGGAAGTGGAGTGTTTCCTCTGGACCGTGTGGTGGCAGTAGGTTCAGATTTGGTGTTTTGTTGTGTCCATGAAGAAGATGAGCACATAAAAAATATGACTTACGGATCAAAATCCTATACAATGACGCAACTGAGCCGTCGAAGCCATGCCATCAGAGTGCTAAATGCCAGTGTTTCAAATGCCAGCGGAACAAATGTAGTGTGCAGACTCGAACATGGGTTTGAAGGAAGTGTCGTGTTTGTAGGATGTATGTATCATGATTACTAACCTTAGGAAAATCAAAATCATTTTGAGACTCTTAAGGCTCTGCTAGGAAAAAAATACTATTGTGGGTTTTCCCTCCTGGGGAAAAAAGTTTTGAAGTTTGGTTTTGAAGTTGAACTGGGGATTGTACTCGTTTGATTTCACTGTGGAAAGGCTTGCTCATGGGGGAGATGCCAAGTCTGAAAGGATGAGAAGGTACCCATGTAAGCCCTCTTTAGAACCTGCCCCAGTGCTTCTCTCATTGTTCTAAGGTACTTTTTCATGATCTGGAATGCCAAGTACTTTATTGCCATATGAATATTCAACCCCTGTCTCCAGCAGTATATATCAATTTAGGTTTACATCTGTTCTAGTATAGTCCATGACTAGGTGAGAGTGAGAGCAAGAACTGTAAGTGCTAGCTAGCATTCATTTACCAATCAGTCAATTGAAGACAACAGTTAAACTTGCAGCAACAACAGATGCTCATCCAGGGCAGAAGCTCCTTGGGAGCTAATTGCAGCAAAGGATACTAAGCAGTAATTCCTGAGCATTCTTCTAAACCATCCTTTTAGTGTTTTCTTTAAAGATACTGGCTCACTCTGTATCTTCTCTGTGTAGTCATGCAAGGCTCAGACATATGTTCAGAAACAGATACCTATTAAAAAAATGACTTCACGTACCCCATTCTTCTTCCCCCATAATTGGTCACTTTAAAGCTTTTTATGTTTTTTCCTCACAAGGAATTTGAGAGTTGTCATCTTCCAATAGCTGCTCATTAGAATCGCATTCCCTATTACAAATGCCTGCCTTTGAGCTTAAGGTCCTTGGTGTTGAGGAAAAGGACAGGAGAAACTGGAATAATTTTGAAAATGTGTTCCAATCTCCAGCCTGTGCATCCTGTCATTGATCTTGATCTGTTAAGGGTTCACTAGGAAATGTAAAACATAATTCAGCCTTTTATTACTTCTCAGTGATATACCATTTTTACATTGTTTGTGAGAATTTGCTTTTGTGGGAAAATCTTGCAGGTAAAGAGATAAAGAATGAAAGCTGTGACAATCCCATAGGATTTTACTTCAATTTTTTTTTTAACAGATGGGATGCCAAGTCTGTTTCTTATCAGTGTTTCTTTTTGTAGTACCTGCTTAGTGGGGAGAGGTCTTGTTCTGGTCCTCTTGCTGATGAGGGGAAGAAAAGGTGAAGGAAGTAAATATGCATACACAACACTTTGGTTAAGCCTAGGTCTAGCAAAACAGGCGTTCTTTTCTGGCTCACTGCTCATAATCTGAAATAAGTCTGCCGCTGTTGTTAATTAACACTGTGTGTTAACTCCCCTTCTCTAGGGCAGAGAGAAGGGGATATATCTCTATGTGGATATTGTTGCTCTACCTTTGGCATATGCTTTTCCAGTTTCATACACCTCAAGTGCACAAGACCTGAAATAAGTGCTCTGCCTAGTCTCATGTTTGCATGGTCTGTTGGGAGCACTCCCCATCTTTTCCAGCAAGGCACTCAACACTGCTCTAGTATGTACACAAAAAAAAGACTTAAAAGGAAAAGATGGACACTTCCAAAGCCATGGTGAAGAGGATGAGCCATTCAGGGCTTGCTTTGATTTTCAAATTCAGTTTGGAATTCATGCTAAAGGGACTATTTTCTTGACACGACTTGTTTGGAGAATTCAAAGCAGTGGTGGGGCTGGCATGTTAGAAAATATGACGCACAGCCGGCAGCATTCCTGCATTGCTCAGCAGCTGAACTGATGCTCAGAATTTCAGAAAACTCTTGGCAGAGTTTCAGTGAAACACTTCCAGGTCAGAGCCTGGAGCTTGTGAACATGTTTGCATGAGATTTGCCAGATTACCCACCCACTTAGAATTCTAGAGTCAAGTGTTAGTCAGATGGGGCTGATAATTATCCATCTATTTTATTGTAATTTTTTAAAAGCATATTACTTCTGTGGTTGGGGTGTATCTATTGCCATGTATTTTTGAAGCACTCAATCTAGACCCAGCAAAACAAAAGAGCAATGCTTTCAGGAAGCCGGTAACCCAAATGTCATACTAGTATGGCAAAACATCAGCTAACTGTTTTGGTTTCCTTTCCTGCTGCAGATGCTCCTGATATTCCCCAAAACCTCAGCTGTGAAACACCCAACTTTCTGATAATAAAATGCACCTGGAAACCAGGCAGGCCCAGTGGACTATATGGAGAACGAAGAACAAAGTACAATTTATTTGAAAGGTAAAATAATCAGCACTACAAGAAGTAAAAGGATACAACTGGAATATCTCCATTGCTGCCTGGGACTTACTGCACCATACCTATTTAGAGCCTAAAATACTTTCCAAGAGTTTCAGCAAGCTGTACCTAAACTAGATTTGGAAAACCTTGGTCTAGCTCTGCAAAATTCTAGTGGGAATTAAGAATAACTTTCCCTAAGGTTTATACCATTATGAACCCACAATCAGATAAAGGGCTTGCTGTATCAGGCTGCTGCCAACATGTAGTCAAAACCAGTATGAAAATACAAGGGGATAGTAGGAGGCAATCACTAATTTTTAATTTATTTTGTATGAAACCTGGTTCAGATAATTTCAGACATTTACTGAGCTTCTGGTAAGCAGGATGGCAGAAGTTCACTGAGAAATAATTATAAGACAGGTCGTGGGGCATTTCCCAAATGCCACTAGGGAAAATAGTAGTTAGCCTCCATCTGTTCTCCTGCTGTTAAGAATTAGAGCCAGCAGAGTAAATGTTAAAACATTGAAAAGGACAAATAACACTGGTTTCACCCACAGGAAGGAATCAACCAGTGTCCCACTACATAGTCTTTAAGGCCAGGCCATGTAAAGCCTTAAAAAAGAAGAAATGTTGGAATAGCACTTGGAAAGTGCAACCACTTCCTTGGTGGTTGTGATTAGAAGTTAGTGAGGAGTTAAATAAATTCCCATGGTGAGAGGAGGCTCTTGTGTCATTCCAAAGGAGCAGTCAGGGAAAGAAGCCAGGAGAGGCCTGAGTCACACAAAATGATGAGAAATGGAGTCTCATGGTGGCTTAGAAGCACGCTGGAGGCAATGAGGTTTGAGTTACAGTCACAGATGTCGTCTAGAGTGCCAGTGCTAAAAAAGCCACTGGGCAGGGTGCAAAGAGGTGGACAAAACAGGGCAGATATTCACAGGAAAGGAGCCTCAGTCACTGACTGCCCATATTCATCTTATAAGTAATAACGTTGTCCAGTCTTGTTTTGCTCAGCCCAAATTTGTGAGATTAATATGATGCATTTCAGGATAAATACTCTCATCCTTATCGTCACCCCATGCTGAACTATAGAGCATAGTGTGGAGGAAGCTCAGAGCTCAGCTAGAACACAGTAAAAATGCCTGAATGAAGAAGATGTTAGTTAAACTTGTGCTACTGAATGAGAGGCTTACACAGATTATAATTAAAACAGATATATGTACATATGTACTGATACACAATTTAGATTTTATCTCTGAAGATGCACCACTGTTCATGTCTGTTAACAGACTGCCTCTCCTGCTTTTTATTAAAAGACTGCTGGGAGTAGTGGTTGTATACTAGGTAACAAACCTGACTTCATATTTAACAGGGCTTATAGAAAGACAATGTGTATCTCACTAGTTCACAAAGCAATTAAGAAAATTTTTTAAATGCAAATGTATGCTGATCTGAATAAAGATACATTCAATCAGAATCTTAGCTGTGACTTGTAAGGTGGTTTTACAGGACCTACCTGTTTTCCAGGCTTTTGAGAAGTGAGAATGGAAATGTTATGCTAGTGTAAGAGGAGAGTTTCACGTGAGAACAGGGCAAGTCATGACTGATGCCACTTTAACCTGCGTTGTGGGGTTAGATATGCCTCTGCAATCAAATCATTCTGTAAGCCATGTGAACTGAACCCATCGTTCTGTACCATGTTTTCAGTCTAGACTTGTGATTGTTGCTAGGAATTAACTTACTCAAAAACTAAGGTTTTCCCTCCTCTCTTTACTTTGTAGAACATCTGGTAAAAATGTTTCATGCGAAGTCAATGAAGTTAACAGAGACCATGTTTGTGGCTTTCCAGTACTGCCTGATCAGAAAACCTATGATTTCATATTAGGTGTCTCCAATCCTATTGGGCAAGCACAGTCATCTCTTTTGGTCAATATAACTCAAAGAGGTAAGACTTATGACTTACAAAAGGAAAAGTATGTTTCCTACATGCTATTCATTAGTTTTGGGTTTGAAGAACCCTGACATAGTATACTTTTCATTATTGTCCTTAATTGTCACTAGATTATTACCATATTCAATAATTTGAACTTGAAAACAACTCAGAGTTTGTCATGAGGCAAAGATGAGCTGTACAGAGAGATCCAACAGCAGTGCTGCTGTGTTGGACAGACTGCTGCGTGATAAATTCTAATATGTGATCTAATAATTAGACAGCTGGTGTTTATCATGGAATCCCAGAGTGGCTGGGGTTGGAAGGGACCTTAAGAATCATTTAGTTCCAGCACAGCACACACACTCCCATGTCCATGGCCCCACGTCCTGCCATGGGCAGGGATGCCACTCACTGGATCAGGTTGCTCAGGGCCCTCTCCAGCCTTGCCTTGAGCACTTCCAGGGATGAAGCATCCACAGCTTCTCTGTGCTCAAAAACAGCAAGTTGATGTTTTGTTTCACATTCCATTACCCATCAACAATTAAAATTTAGGTGCAAGTTTACGAACCTGTATGTAAATTATTTCTGTATTTCAGTGTCCGGTAATAGGACACAAAATATTACACAGTTTTACAGCAGCAGGATTTGGAGCATAAAAAAAAATAACATGGAAAGAGAGAAGGTAATATCAGGACTATTGTGTTCTATTGGTGAGAGCCATGATCATCTGTCAGGGTTTGGAGAAAGAAGTAACTTCTCTCATTTAGACCTTTAGTTTAAAAAAGGAAAGGAAGATGACCATCTCTGTAGCACTGCCTTCACCACCCTTTTCTCCTCCACAGTCCCAGCTGAGATTTCAGGGATTCCTATTGATTACAGTATTCTGCTGCTCCCCAAAAAACTGAATTAAATATGAGGATAGTACATTTTTCATTGTCCAGGTCCCAGTTCAACTAGCCTGAGATTAGAATTGTCAGAGTAAATGGACAGAGTTGAAAAAAGCATCATTTTTTTCTGTTAATCATTAACTGGGCTGTTTCAAACCCAGGTGATATGTTGCTGTTTCCTATTTGTTTCTTTTTCTTTCTTTCCTGCACTGTCCAGTTAATTCCCAAAGCACAGATATTTGGACCAAATCGAATAGTAGATACTTTTTCTTACTCTGATAGCTGTGAATGTTAGTGCTGAATATTACTGAAAGATTCTATGAAGGGAATTTTGGGGTGGGGTCATTTAGGAATCCTCCTTTTTCCTGGTCAGCAGATTTTAAGTACTGATTGAAAAAGTTCACAGAAGTTGAGCAGAGTTCAGTTAATGTCATCTGTCACCTGTGATCATCTGAAATAGCTGGTGGTTCACTCTTTTGATAAAATCAGTTAGGAGGAAAAATGTTTTTCTGTATCTCAACTCCTTATCATGTGTGCAGTACACTCAGTCTTAAGTAAATCTGTTTCCATATTTGATAGCTGAGAAGATATCAGGAATGAGAGTACTTGCAGGTGCTTTCCCAGCACCAGTTTTCCCAGTTGCTGATTGAAACACTTATCCTTCTGATTCTCTCTGATCTTCTAAAATAAGATTTTTCTGAACTATAGTAGTTGGGGTTTTTTCTTGTAACTGAAGGTTTTTCTCTTTATTTTTTAAGTTCATCCGAAAGCCCCAGAAAAGTTAACTATTACTGGGAACAACTCTACAAGCATCCAACTGCGTTGGTTTATAAATGGCAGCTTTGCTGAGACGAGGCTTCTGTGTCAAATTGAAATAAGCAGTAGTCACTCTGAGAGAAAACTGGTAAGCATTGCCTTGAAAAGATAATTTTTTTGAACAAATGCTAAACTTTTTCACTGAGCTAATCACATTTCAAATTTATTTCTCACTAAGAGCTTCATTCTGATGGTCTTATTAAGTCATTAACATAGTAATGACTAGAAGTCATTTACTAAAGTAAGAAAAATTCCTGGTCCTCTCTGTTATTGCCTGTTTTGGTTGCTTGGGGCTTTTTTTTGTTTTGAACACTAGAGAAAAGCCAAATTATGCACCATGTTATTTGGTACTTGAAAGGGGTGCATAGTGCTTTACGCTGATCTTTTAGGTAACAGTCCATGGGCTTTGTCCTTCCTGGTGCAAGCTGTATTAACACACTCTTGTTCCAGGATGCGTTACTGCCCTGCAGACTGACCCACACTGGCTGTTTCAGGTCTTGAAGGCTGCAGCTGAATTTCTCCCTGTATTTTTTCCCCTCAGAGAACAATTTGTTTGTTTGCTGCCAGCAGTTGACATGCATGTGGCCACAATAGGCAGCTGCTGAACCTGCTCTTATGTCAGTGATGCAGAGGCAGGGCAGGGAAAGATTGTCCCATGGGATGTGTGAGTAGGTAAACCCCAGTTTACGTGGAGTAACTTCTGCAGCATGAAGTTAGTGTGGGGTTACCTGTCTCACTGGAGAAGCGTAATGAGAAGTGCATTTTCAGCTGGCCTGGGATTTACCCCCAGTTTCTTTGTGTGTACTTACCTCTGACCATTTCAAGTAGGCACATAGTGAATTCTCAGGTAGGTCTTGGTGCACAGAGCCTGAATTTTTAATTTGAGCACATTAACCTCAGAGGCTTCTTTTTGCAATGCTAGTTTGATTTTTAGCAGTATTCTGTCATCCTCTGCACTTAGTTGCCAGCTGGGCACAGCTGTTGAGCATATCCTTGAATATCATAAATCAAGGCACTGAAATGATGCAGCTAAGACTGAAGATAATCATTATGTACATGCCTCCAAAATAAGAGAGTGCACACTCTTATAAAAAAGATTATTTTTTAAATACTTTCAGAGCACTTAATAAGTGCAGAAGCCTTTAGCTTTTATATTTTGTCTCTAATAACATGGGTTAAGTAATACCAGAGATTAGGTACTACAAAAGAAACTCAGATATTTTTGTAATATGCAGCTCAAAATCTGGGGCCTGGACTCATTTGTGAATTCTGCTACTGTATCAATCATCTGGGATAGTGGAAAAGGGTCAGGACTTACACTTCCACGGCAGTTTGATTCCCTTCACCTGTATCAGAGCCCTCACCCACGAATATTTTGTATGCAGCAAACAGCTTGGCAAAAGCTTTTATAGCTTTGTTATATGGTTGCTGCTTGCTTAATAAAAAAACTCCAGGAGATCCCTGTCACAAAAGTAGCTGTGAAATTGCTATGGGCTTTTACATGGCGTTTTGAGGATGTTTTCAGAAGCATTTCCATCTGCATGAGAGATTGTTGGCTTTTCTAGTATTTTTCAAGTTGTTATTTGGATTTTCTATTATTTTTCAAGTTGTCATTTGGCTTTAGAAATGCAAAATTAGTTGCATCTTAAAGTCACTTGGAGTCCAGTTTTTGGCAGCTGCGATGCACATGTGTTATAATTAGAATCAGTAAAAAATATTCCTGGGCTTAGGATTTCTTTAATTGTGAAATTGAAATGGCTCTCTAGACTCACACTACTTTAAGAATAATAGGAGAGACTAGTCCTGTCATAAGAACTGTGAACTGAGATTGCCCGGGTAGGACCTGGATAATGTCTTCTGAAGGAAAAATGAAGGCAGCAGACTGCATGATGAACATCCTGCTCAAGCAGACTGTCTTTAGTGAACTTCTGTGCATGTCTGACAGGAAAAAGGCCTTTGTCCCCACAAGATGTGCGTGTGTTCAGTGGGAGTGTGGGTTCTGAACACCAGAATTCTGGCCTGCCCCGTGTGAGCAGTTTTGATGCAAATGGGAGAGAGGGGGACTGAACGGGATAGATGGGTAACAACCACCTGCTGCTGTGTGCAGAGGTGAAGAATGGTCCATGTTGCTGCTCCTTTTTGCACATTACTGTATGCTTCAATTACTGTATGGGACTTTGTTTTGGTGGATCTCTGAAGTTTTTGTTCACAGTGACTGCATTTTATTCCCACTATTTTCTTCATAGGGCTTGACTGCAGCTGAACTGTCAGTATTTTTGGGGGACAAAAACCCTCGCCTTTTTTAGGTGTTGACTAGCTGTGTAATTTAGGAGAAAAAAAATACAGGTATCATGTCAATTTCTGTAAATTTTGAACAGCACAATGTCTCCGTGCCTGGGCGGAAATCTTCAACTTACACAGCTCAGCTGAATGCATTGCGCCCTGACACCAAATACCAGCTCCGGGTGCGCTGCTCGGCCGCTGACCACTTCTGGAGGTGGAGTGACTGGAGCAGGGCGGTGGAGCAGACCACATCAGAAGCCCGTAAGTTCCTCTCACTCTTGATGGTAAAATGTTGAACTTGGGAAGATGCGTATTTTAAAATTGGTCATCTAAAAAAACCTAGCTTTTCAATAGATGGTAAATTGTCTGCTGTGCTACTGGGGAAAAGTACTACCACTCTTATTTTTTTATTTAGCTCCTACAAGAGGACCGGATATCTGGAGAGAGAGAAGTCCTTCTGGTGAAAGTGTAATAGTCTTCTGGAAGGTAGATAGCTTTTTGTAAAGTTACATTGCGTAATATTTTATGTGTTCTATTTACTTTTGTGCATTTATAAATATATATAGACGTTTATAAATTAGTAAAGTTTATAGTCAATAAACCAGATTTTCTTAACTTTTTGTAGAACCATCTATTGAGACAAATATTATTCCCCACATAAGAATGTTATTAAAGTTTTAGAATTAAAATATTGCTTTGAGAAGCATTTCGCATGAAGAATTAAATGTTTAATGCATCTGAGTTGAAAATTAAATCTTAGGAATTTACATGTTAATTCTCAAATTACATATGAGTTACTTTTTTGCCCTATAATCTTACACAGTCATCAGACTAGATCAGGAACAGTAAATTCATATTATCCTATGTCATCTTCTGTATATTGCATTTTGGTTTTAATGCACTCTTTGTCTGTTCATAGCCCTTATCCCTTTCTGAAACCAATGGAAAAATAGTGTCTCATGAAGTGTCCTGCCACCTGCTAGAGAGACTACTGGAGCATAAAGTAGTCTCTGAACCCTCAAACAGTACTGAGATAAAACTTGGAAAAAGTGACTGTGTAATTAGTGTTGTAGCCAGAAACCATGCGGGCTCATCTCCCCCTTCAAGGATAACAAGCGTGGAACTTCCAAGTGGTGAGTGCTCCCAGCTGAGAATTAAACACCTTCAAAGCTTGGGGAATATCTAGGAGAGTTTGTTTATTGAAAAATAATGCTTTGTTTGTTTGCATTTATTTCCCCACACAAATCTGCTGGGTGGGGGGACAAATGCTTTGCTTTTGGAGTAGTGTCTCACCAATTAATTGTGCTCTTTACATAAAATAAAGATGATAAGGTGCAGTCTTTACAGCTATTTGCACTTTTCAAAAGCATTGGTGTGGATCCCTGATATTTAGGGAGCTCAGTGTATTCCTGTGTAGTTCTTGTTGAGACACTGAGAGGTGTTACATGCTAAAGAGATTCAGAAGTTTTGGAGGTGCTGTGTGACTTTTTAAGGCGAGAATTGTCAGTTCAATGCCTGAGAGCTCTGTAGGAGAATATTAATTGGGCTGATTGGTAAAGTGTTGGCATCCTTGTGCTAGGAAAGCCAGTATTTGAAAAGGAGGTAGGGCTTTAGCTTCCCAATTAAAACACTGCTGCTCTTGCTGAGGGCTTTGTAAACAGAAATAGCTGAGCCTGATAATGGTTTTCTGCTCTTAACACTGAGCTTGCAGAGTAGATAATATTGCAGAGCAGTTATTGCGAGCCCACGCTTCCCTGCACACCAGACCTTTAGCTCCATATCTGGCTGATGCTCGGCAGGGAGAGGAGATTCACTCAGCAAGGCCCTGTCTCCACTTGTTTGCCAGGAGCATTCATGGGTCTGCTTCTCCTTGCCCACCTGGGAAACAGGTGTCACAGTTGGTTCTCTGGCAACTCAGGTTCTGTTAAGACTTGGCCATCTCTTACAGGAGGAAATGTGTTCTGGCTGATTCACAGTGAGATACAAAACAAGTTTGTTTCTGTGTAAAGCAAAACCCTGTGAAATACAATGTTCCTTGTGCTCCTCCAAAACAAAGAAACAGAGTAGGTAAGGTTGGAAGGGCCCACACTCCAACCTCCTCACCCAAGCAGGGCCATCTCAGAGCACAGGGCGCGGGATTGTGTCCGTATGGTGCTTGGGTATCTCCAATAAGGCAGACTCCACAACCTCTCTGGGCAATCTGTTTCAGTGCCTGGTCACTGCGCAGGAAAGTTCTTCCTCATGTTTGTGATCCTGTGCATCAGTTTCTGTCGTATTGCTTATTGCACTACCAATCAGAGCCTGGTTCCTCCTTTGTCCCCTCCCTGCATGCTTTGACAGACGCTGATGAGGTCCCCTCCCGGCTCTTGTTGAGGCTGAACAGGCTCAGCTCCCTCAGCCTGCCCTGGTAAGAGAGATGCTCCACTCCCTTAAGCATCTTTGTTGGACTGGACTGGACCCATGCCAGGAATTCCATGTCTCTAATTGTCCTGAGGAGCCCAGAACTGAGCACAGCACTGATGCTAATACCTGGTAGTATATTCTTAGTCTGCCCATTGGAAGGAAAAGTAACTGTATGGGACAGTTGATTTTAAATGCTTTTATAGCTCTCCTTCAGCAGAGAAAGAGTCAGGATCTGGAAGTCAAAGAGGTCTATAATAGGTTTGTGGTGTGGTAGAGCTGATGGCAGCTAGAGCTTTGCATTCATTTATAGCTTTCTCTTAGATGTCTGAGGCTCCCTTTGGTGCTACCCAACTTGTACTCATTAAAGATTTGCTCCCGAGTTGGTATAGGAATTGAGTCACTGACTGGAGCCATACAAGATGACTCATTCAAAGAACTGGATGACATTTTTGCCCAGACATCTTTTCTGGCTGCTTCCTGTGTGCAGTCTGTAAGTGCTTTTAATGTCAATAAGAGAGCAGAGGGTCTGAAGCTGGAGTTTATGAAAACTGAAAACACAAACAAAGGATACACTGCCATAATTAATTTGTCACTGTCTTTGAACAGTGCTCTGTAGAGAGTTGAGGCTGATCCAGGCTCCCCTAACACAGTAGTGTTCTAGTGCTAGTAGTTATTTGTTCTTCTAGTCTAGGTTGCAGCTGTAAATACACCAAAATGAGCAGTACTGCCCATGGTGAATTTCTAGTCATCTAGCTCAGAAAATAAGGTGGAGTGTGGTGTATTTAAATGTTTTTTAGACAGCATGTGATTACTGCCAGTAAAAAACTCTTTTCTGTAAATAGAAAAATTAAAGTCTGCTAATTAGAAATATGATCTTTTCCAGCATTACAGAAATATAGTTTCACTGGATGCATAGTAGTTTTTCTGGGGAAATTATCAAGGCCCTTGTGGAGTTGATTTGCTTTTAATATTCATATGTCTTTTTCTTGCCATGAGCAAGCTACAAAACAATTATACACTTAACTGCGTGCTAAGATTATTTAGAAATAGACAGTCCTTTGACATTTGCAGCACATCTGTGAGAGTAAAGTTTTCATAGCACTAATTCTTGAAAACTGTCCTTGCCCTTCAGCCTTCCCTAGTTTATGGCTTTAATAAAATGAAATAATAGACTCAATGGGGAGCATAAATGAGAACACTGAAAAAGGAAAACTAAAACCCTGAGATTGTTTTTGCAGATCTGTTATGGGGCCACCCCTTTTGTGGTGGCCTTTGGAAACCATCCCTTAGCTCTGCGGGGTCCCGTGTGATGGACAGCCATGGAAGGCAGCTGCAGGAATCAGAAGCTGTTCCCAGATCTGATCACTTCACAAGGGCAGCTAGATCTTTGAAAATCAGAAACAAGAAAAACAGACTATAGGCAAAGCTTTTTTTTTTTTTCTTTCTTGTATAATTTACCCTTGGTAGACTGAAGCCTCCACAAAGTTCACCAGGGACATGATTATTGCTGTTGATTCTTCATGAAAAATGGTTGTCTGTGGTTGGGCAGGTGACAGCAAGACACTTTGAAAGAAACACAAAGCAAACCATTTGATGAAATGACAGCAGGAATTTATAGCTGGAGGCTCCTGCCAGATTGGTGTCAATTCATATTTGAACCTGACATCTGCTGTAAATCCTTACCTTGAAAAAGTGCTTTTTAAGCCAGTACTGAGCTGCTGCATTTCTCTTCATTGCACTTAAGGCTGGCTGAGGGATTTGCTGGAGGCTATGTCTGATTGTGAGCACTCCAGAAAGCTCAGCTGAATGTACTGCTTCGAATTCTGAGTTCACTCATGCCTCTCGTTCCTAGAAATGACTGCCCCTAGAAATGACTGTCGTTTATAAAGCCATTGTGCTATGGCTGGAAGGCTTTCTTTCATCTTGGGCTTTAGATAAGTGTCTGCTCTTTGATGGATTTTTGTGTCATCTTTGTTGCAGACAATGTCACAACAGATCAGGCTGTGGCAATGGGCAATGGAATTAATATTTCTTGGGATTCTTACCCCAACATGACGTGTGGCTACATAGTAAAATGGTGTCATTCATCTGGGTCTGAACCCTGTAGTGTGGACTGGCAGAAGTTTCCTTCAAATGCAACAAATGCAGTGATAAAATCTGGTAAGTCAGAATACTTTCTTGTGAGTCTTTCTGGTTGAGACCCTGAGCAGCAAGTGGAATGAGAGCAGCATGAAGCTATAGGTTGCAGATTGTTTGATTCCTGTGTACTTCTGTAAATAAATGAATTTCTTCTTGGTACTGTGTTTATTTTAATTTCTTACACATTCTTGCCAAATCCAAATATCAGTCTTGATTTAACTTTTATTATCCTGTGTTTATTAACTGTTTTGAAATTACCTCTTCTAGCTGTACGCCAAAATTTCCTAACTCAGCCTAATGCATAATGGTTAATCTAGGGTTAGGGGTTTTATTTGGATTCCAAGCATAAACAGTGCTGCTCAGGATGGGAGAAGACTAATCCATTGTTTTTACATGAGGCAAATTTTTTTAAGTGTGACCTCCATGTGTTGGCTTGCTGTCAACTATTGAAATTTCCTGGAACAGGGCACATTCCAGGTCTCTAGATGCTGGTGGGCAGATCAGGGAAATGAAATTCAGCTGTGGTGGGACTAGTAGCAGCAGAAGAGGAAAGAGAGAACCCATTAAAGATGTGGGATGTTTTTCTCTGCTTTCTGTGAGGATATATATTTGCCTTTTAGAAGAATTTAGTATTAAAGTCTCCATTGAAGGAAACAACTTGGAGCTGTGTACATAGGAAAGTTGAGGGGGATTGAGACCTGGAATAATGGGGGCAATGTGTTTTACTGTCTGTAATTACAACACTGTGTCCGTGTTGTTTCTGTTTGTGCTAGCTAGAGATTTCTTTTTTTTAAGCAGACAATACAGTGTCTGTGATGCACTGCTTTACTCCTGAGCTCTTCACTGGGATGCTTCTTGCAGCATGTGACTCTTTTATGAGTTATCCAGCTGCTCGGGCTGGGCTTAAGCTGGCAAATCCACCTCTGCTCTTAGTCCTGCTAGGAGAATCCCTCAGGCTGGACCTGAACTCTTGCAAAAACCAGTTGACTTCTGTGTAGTTTCACAGTGGTATCTTGTTTAGAAAAAGTCTTAAAAGCAGTGTACAGCCCCAACTTGACAAAATCCCAGAAAGTGGTAAATTATTTACACATTATAGCATCAAATATCTGTGCTCCCACCAAAGACATGGGAAGCATAAGTATGATGACTATCTGTGTTTTTTAAAGTCAGTTCAGGACTGAAGTTCATTGCTAAGTTGTTTCACTGTCACTTCTGAGAGTTTTCTGCATATCTTTTGTACTGTTACTCCAGTAAGCCTGGTTATTTTCAAATGCATTGATGAAAATGCATTTGAAATGCATTTGTAGATCCTGCAGAGGCAGGATCTACATGGCTGCTGTGGGAGGAAAGGAAGGGGGTTATTTCTGGTAACTTCAATTTGTGTTTCCCCATGGAAAGGGCAATTTATGCAATTTGAGTAGCTTGTTTTGAATCTTCTCTGTTTAGTACTAAGCTTTCTCTGGGAGCTAGATTTGGTTACTGCTTCTAAACCACATCTGATGGCATAGCTTTTGTAGAAATTACAAGCAGGAATGGTATTTATACCATTATACTTTGTAATTTTTTAATATGTATTTATATATCTGCATCACGTGAAATCTAAAAGCATCGTTTTTCTGAAGTGAAATATTCTTACAGCAGTTTTCTCTTGCAGCTCTCTTCAAACCTGGCGTGAGATACAACTTTTCTCTGTATGGCTGCAAATCCACGGGATATCAATTGCTGAAAAACATAACTGGCTATATGAAAGAGCTGCGTAAGTGCACTTTTATCACTCAGGATCTCTGAAAAGTGAACTTAGTCTGTGTCTGTTTTTTAGCTCAGTGTTGGTAGGAGGCTGAGACCAGAACCTCCATGCAGTACTGCTGACTTCTGTTTGTTCTCTGTGTATAACTGTAACACATTTCTCCAGCCACTTGCAGTTCCAAGCGTATGCAATAACCCTGTGTTCTCCAGCTTGTGTGGTGGCACAGTGTCACAGCAATTCAGTCATAATTTGAACCACATGGCTGTGGTCCCTTCTACACAAGAAGGGGCAACTTTTCTGATTCATCAAGTCCAACTTCTGAGCACATTTAGTATAGCTCAAAAAATGTAAAAAGTATCCATAACATTTCTGTGTTGAAATGAAAGCACTTCATAGATCCAAACTAGATCCTAGAGCACAACCACTTTGAGAATTGTATTCTGTCCCACACCAGCCCTGTCTGGGTAACTGGGGTTTGACCCAGTGCTGAGCTTTGCTGGCCGAAGATGCATTAGTGTCTGAATGCTTTCTGTTCCCAGGTGTTTGGACATGACTTTAGCCTTTAACACCATAGCTGTATTGTATTGTAACTACAGCACCAATTTCACTTTGAAGTTTAATGTGTTTTCTGCTAAAATAGTTTGCCTAGAAAACTGAGCTGCTGACATAATCTGAGTCCTTGGAAATGGTGTTGTTTACTTCATTGCTAAGGTTGAAAGTGAGGTTAAGGCAATTTTACCAGAAACTCAATTGTCAGCCATTTGTATTTCTCCAAAAATTCTGAAAGGTTTCCCAGAAGAGTTTTCCATGTGTGTTATGAACAGATCAAACAGAAGCTTTCAAGATATAAAGACTTTGAGGGACTAATAATGCGTTGAGCATGCAGAGGAAACTTATTAGGAACTGAGAAATGCACAAGAGCATAGATTCATTCTAAACTTCAGATTTGCCTTTGGACAGATAACCATTAAGAGAAGAATGGATGCATTCTTAAACATGAGTTTAGCCATGGTGGTTTAAAGCCAAATGTCCTGACATTATACATGGCTGTATACATTATCTGCTGTAACACTTTCAGTAGGCCTCAGGTATTGGAATAATAATATATAATACAAAATAACTTGTGTAAACTGCTAAGAGTGGTTCTGGTAAAATTGTGTAGTTTGTTTTTTTTTTTTTTTGTTTTAAGACAGGCTATGAGTTAAAGCCTGTAAAAGCTAACATCTATCCTCTGAAAGTTTATACAATCTTTAGGGTTTTGTTGCAGAAAGAAGGGAATGGGTCTGTAAGACGACTGACCGAAGAGAATTTTTTCCTCTAGCACTGCTTAGTGTATAATACTGCAGTAATGATTAACAATTAGTCCTATATTGCTGTGTTTTTGTAGACTCCTACTAAGTCTTTCACATGTACTTTTACAGTGAGGCGTCTTGAGGAAAAGGTTGGAAAATGCTAGCTCCAAAATAAAACTGATTTAAATACTTACATGGTTTCAGCATTTTGTAATAAGGTAATTTCTTACTGTTTTTTTCCTTCATAACTCTCTCGACAGCTCCAAAAACTGCACCAAATTTTATTGTTGAAGAAACTTCTTCAGATTCTATCTTGGTAAAGTGGGAAGACATTCCTATTGAAGAATGCCGAGGATTTCTAAAAGGATATCTTCTTTCCTTTGCAAAAGGTGAAAAAGATGCTTTAAAGCCTAGACTTTCAGAATCAGGTAAGTTAATTGTGTAGATTGCAACTTCCTTGCTTACATCGTTCCTTTTTATTTTTTAATAATTTAAGTTCACTTTAATACAAAAGATGCTTTAATAATAATCCAGTTGCATTACTCACTGTTATAATTTGCTCCTGATATGTGACAAAGGCATTTAAAATGCCTTTGTGTGATTAGCCCAGTTGTTTTCTAATATAAAGCAAAAGTTGGAGAAAATCTTGTCTCACTGAGGCCATAAAGTAATGCAGTGACTAAGTGGCAATGTGTCATGCTGTCCTGTGCTCAGATACCCTGGGGAGATGAGGTGGGGAGGTTACAAGGCTATATTTAATAGGTTTAAATAAATTTAACATTCTTCCAGTGCATGTCCTGTCAGGACTGAAGCCTGACTGGCATTCATAAGAGGACACTCAGGAGGGTAAGGAGATGTAGTCAATCTGCAGCAGCAGCAGCACTGCCCTCCTGTGCTGCTTGGTGCTGTGTAAGCAAGCAGCATTGCTAGGGTTCTTCATTTCAGTTTTCTTTACACAGACTGTTCTTCTGGTTTCGTCTCCTCACTTCAAGACAGTTTTGCTAAAGCTGAGGTTGTCTTTTTGAATCCTTTCTTATGAAGTTATGCTTTTTTTACTGCTTCCAAACAATCAGGGAATCCAGAACTTAAAGTTAACAATATCACTGACTTAACAAAGAAGTCTATGAAAATACTTGATCTTCAAGGCAAAACGAGTTACCAGCTGGAACTACAAGCCTACACTGCTGGTGGATTGAGCCCTCCAAACAGCCTCTATGTGGTGACAAAGGAAGACTGTAAGTTGATTATCCCTGTCTTTAGCACATGGGCTGTACAATGTATATAAAGCTGAGCTTATTTTGTTGGTTTATTCTGGTCCTGTAGGTTTGGGTGTGCAGTCTAATTTTTACCTTTATTTAGTTGGTTATTTATAAATACAAAAATGCAGTTCAGAGCGAGGGAAAGATCCTTTTCTATTATAGCTACTTCATAGTTCATAGTAATGTATGCATAAAAAATAACTTCTAACCTACTACTAAATATAGTAGAGTCTGAGCTTAGTTTTCTCAGACAGCCAGTTGTTTTTGTCGGGTTTCCCATTATGAATATCTGCTAATACATGGTGGGAAGAAAGACATTGTGGAAATATTTATCAGTTTTAAAGTTGAAAACAGATGCTTCTTTGCTTTGAATTCAGTTTTACTGATCCCTTAACAGAAGTAAACCCAAAAAGACAATTACAAGAAAGAGATGGACTTTAGAAAATAAGAAAAAAAGTGTTTCCTATGAAGGACTAAACATTGGGGTGCAACATTAAAATCAAGCTTGAAGCATTTAATATCAATGGAAGAAGGCGGTGGAGATCTATTGGAGCTAAAGCTCAGGGACTGGAAGCATTGTAAAACATATAAAAGACAATGCTGTTTATGCAATTAGTTGTTGGCCTGGAAGAGCCATTACCAGAAACTTGGCCAGCTCAGGTAGCATGAAAATGCAATGTTCAGGTAGCATGAAAATGCAATGCAAGTGCTTAATAAGAGCAGAATCACTGTATCAATGAGTCTTGTGCTGCACATGAAGCCTTCTCTAATTCAACATAGAGAAATATCTGCTGATTCCTGTAGTTATCACTGAATCTGTGAATTCCAGCAAAGGGGAAGGGTGATGGTGTAGGTCACTGTTTGCAGATCACTGCACTAGCTGAGTTTAATGGAATGATCTTTTAATTGGGGGAATATTAGAAAAGCCATAAAACTTACTGATTATATTGGATATATATTTACTGCCTCCTCTTTTTCTTATCCCCCAGCTGTAGGATTAATCATTGCAATTCTCATCCCCGTTGCAGTGGTGGTGCTGCTTGGAGTGTTGGCCAGCATCTTCTGCTACCGAAAGAGGGAATGGTAACTGCCTGCCTCGGGTTCTCATCTTTTCCTGGAAGTGTTTGCTTCAGTGCTAGGGTTTTCCATTATTTTAGTTACTCCCTGTTTTCTCTATATACCCAAAGATGTTAGTGGGCTTTGCTCAAAGGTGGGTGGCAAAAATACCATGTGGAAAGTGAGGGAGAAACTGAGCTGGAGAGAGGTCGGAGGAATGCAAAAAGCTTTTGCAGGAGCCTCTGTTCCAGTGAGTACCGTTTATAAACAGTTCCCAAATGGAAATAAGCTGGCGACATACTGTAATTTGTGTGCCCTCTACAAACAAAGATAGGCATATCATCTTCAGCTTTTAGTAAATGTGGCATATTAAATTCCCAACTTAAAAAAAAAAAGGGGGTTGCTGTTTTTTCCATTATACTCAGTGAAAGTTTAACACACTAAATCTTTGCACCAGATGTCTTCAGTATTCTGAGTTAAAGGGAAGTGTCTTGACTCCTTTTGTGTATTCACAATCTGTTTCAGGCCTTGCTATCTTTATAATAGTTTATTCTTTCTCTTTAAAGGATTAAAGAAACATTTTATCCAGAAATCCCAAATCCTGAGAACAGTAAGGCACTGCAGTTTCAGAGGAACATCTGTGAGGTAACCCTTATTTTAAATCTAGTATTTTAAGCTTCTAAAAGATAAAACCAGTTAAAGAATTCTTTTGCAAACTTTGACTCATCTGTTCCAATTGTAGGAAAAAACTCAGTGGCAGGGGGAAACAAGCCAATTTACTGAGTAACTTTTGTCAGGTGGTATCTAGAGCTTTGTTGCTGTTAATGTAGTTAATTGCAATGTTTGAGCTAGGAAAGGATTGTTGCATTTCTCTTCTTCCAGCTAATGAGAAGTGTCAGTACCTGATAAGAATACAAGAGTAACACAGGCATCTTTGTTGAAGAATTAGAAGAAGCAGGAAGTATGGAGATCTGCCATATCCCATTATCCCAGTAGATACATTAGTTGAGATGGGCAGAGTATTTTAACAGCCTACAGAAATGGGTTGTACAAAGACAAGATTTGGAGAAAGTTCTTAAAAATATGCTGCAAGACCTCAAGTCTCTTTAATTTGCATAAAATACTTCTAACATTTACAGGAATGTGATCCAGAAAATTATAAGCACTTCTTTCTTTTTAATGTATCATACTAGTGGCCATGGGATGGAGTACAATCCACATGCCACCAAACTGCTGTAATTTCAGCAACTTGCTGCTTTCAGGTTTTCCAGATCTTTTAACTTAGTGTCTCCCCCTTCTCCTTTTTCTCATTTCAGGGGAATAAGACACTTAAAACACTGGAAATGAACCCGTGCACCCCCAACAGTGTTGAAGTGGTGGAAACACAGTCCACAGCTCCAAAGATTGAAGACACAGAGATGATGTCCCCAGCAGCAGAGACCACTGTGCCTGAAGATGGCTCTGACTCAGAAATGGAAAACCACGTTGTTGTCTCCTACTGCCCCCCTATCATTGAAGAGGAGATCTCAAATCCCCCTACAGATGAACCTGGGGGGTCATCTCAGGTGGTTTACATTGACATCCAGTCAATGTATCAGCCTCAAATTAAACCAGAGGAGGAGCCAGAAATAGACTTAGTGACTACAGCAGGCTATAAGCCACAAATGCAACTCTCTATCAGTGCTCTGAAAATAGAGGGCCATTCACCTGTGGAGGAAGAATTGGATAAAACTGCAGGTTACAGACCTCAAGCAAACACAAACGCGTGGAACATGGGCACTCCGGACTCTCCCGGATCAGTTGAAAGCAACAATGAAAATGCATCTTTTGGGAGCCCATGTTCAATTAACTCCCGACAGTTTCTTCTTCCCCCAAAAGATGAAGAAGACTCTCCTAAACCCATTAACACAGGGTGGTCCTTCACACACTTTTTTCAGAACAAACCAAATGATTAACAGTGAGTCCTCATTGCACGTGAACCTGCCTTCTGAATAAGCTTTTATGCCTGGTATTGTTAAGAAAGGAAGAAGAAAATGCAAAAGGCATGAATTATTCTTGGAGACAGTCAGCAGAAGTTCTAGTGAGCTGAGTGTTACCATGTTTAAGTTAGTCAAAGTGTTAATATTCCATTGTAATAGAGGCTGAGAGGCCAAAATTATAACAATTTAGTTATTAGTCTAGTAAAATATATTGGATATATGGGGTTTTGAATTTACAGCCCCTGATAATTATAGTCAAAGAACTCTGCCTACCTTCCCACAGTGCTCCAAGATAAACATGGTCTCATGCAATTTATAACTTGGAAAGATTGCTTTGCTTTGTTGTAGTTGTTCTCAACCGTGCAGACTCAAATGATGCAGCACCAACAGATTTCCTTACTGAAGGTTTAATTTATAGCAAATCTCAGCCTAAGACTCGGAAACAATGTGACTGGAAACTGTTGAGATCTTTTACCTAGTTATAAACAATGAACAAATGAGAGTGCTAATTTTTTTTCTTCTCCTGTATGGAAGGTATTGTCACTGTTTAACACTTAGAAAGCAATGGCCATTCAAATCTGTTGCTTTTTGACTAGACACTAATTTCTGTACCTACTGTACAATGTTTATTAAATGTTTGACTCAGGGGTACAAACTTGGGGAAAAGAAGTGTAACACTGATTGAAACCTCAACAAGAATTGCATAAAGTTTAAAACTTCCTTTTTTTAAAAAATATCTTAGAATGCTCTATATTTTTTCAATCTTTTGGTTAAAGAGTTAATCTTACCTAATGTATTGCACTAATACATTTTGTATTTCATAGCTTCTGCTCCAGATCTCCTGCTTTGAAGTGGTACAGTAGTCCATTCACCCTCAGTGTTTAGCAGTCTTTGCACTATGCAGTAATGTAAGCCATGGGGAAATCTGTCTACTCACCTTAGCTGCTGAAGCAGTTTGGCACATGAAATTAGAGGTAGTAGGACTAGGTCCTTGAGGAGAAATTGCTTTTTGGATGATCTTTATTGTATTACCTTTGTATTACCTGCTGCCTGACTGATCTTTGATCTTATGTGTCAACCCAACAGGACCTTCTGTACAAATCCTGCCTGGGAGTACAAGGTAGGATTTCTCTAGTGGCAGGGAGAAACCCAGGGAGGTTCTAGTGCCACTAATTCTACCTCTCCTTTACCAGATATGTGATGCAAAGAAAGCTTAAATTATGTACATTTGTGTGCTTAAAGGAGTGTTTAGAACAATCATCTTTTAAAATGCTTGTTTTCCCATGTGCATCTCTAGACAACTGTAACTGTAACATTTCACTGTGTAAATTTCAGGCTGTGGCTTACATGAATTTCACTAGCTTACAGGAGAAACTTTTGAGAAATTTACCTGTTTCTTGCTGTAAAACAGTGGGGAGGCATCAGATGAGCTTGATCAAAAAGGGTCTCCATAAAGTTCTAACCAATTTTTTTTTAATCTCCATTTCGTTAGCTACTGTGCTTTGTTTGGGGTTTGGATTGCTGTTTGGTTTTTGAGGGGTTTTTTTTAAATAAATAAGACATGGGAATGGTTTTCTAAATAAAACAGATTAGGAGACTGAATTGTCTAGGCTGCTAGTTGTAAAGGTGTGAGAGTAGATCAGGAGGATGTGACCTGACAGACATTTGGTCTCCAAACCACATGATCTGGCCATCAAAATAAAACCAAGCATAAGGTTAAACCTAGTCACAGCAATGGGTGGTTCAGTTTCAGAGGCTGGCATGTCTCTGCCATCTCCACAGAACGAAAGTGTAGAGATGTTTCAGAACTGACAAAAAGGCAAAGCACTAAATAATTACCACAATAGGTAACAACCTCCTGTGTGTGCCTCCCGGACTAGTGAGCTGTGAAGTAGTGAAAACCAGATTGGTCTGCAGGTCCGGCAGAGTGCAAGGTGCCTCTGAAAGGACAGAAAGTGCACATAGGATTCATCTGTTGAATCTTTGAGTTAGCAGGCTGCAAGTGGAAACACAGGCAGTGACGTCCATTTGTGACCAAGCATCAGCACAAGAGAAGTGTCATAGCATATTACTTAGATAGAACATTAACATATGAAAGGAAGCAGTTAAGCCCTTTGTGACTGATAGCTGGGAGGAGGCTAAATCCTAATAGTAACAACTGTTTTTCATAATTATTTTTTTCTAGAATATTTCATTTCATTTTAATGTGTCCATCTCCTAAGATGGATTTTAGCTTTTGCTGCTATATGCTTTTAATTGAAAGCAGATGATGTCATGGACAGTGTGTATGGGTAGTGGTTAGGGGTTTTTTTATAGAGCAGATTCTCAGTACAGAGGAGCAATCAGTATTGCATGGTGATCCAACTGAAAAAAACACCCTCTATAGCAGAACAGCTGACCATGAAGAATAACTGTGCTTTTCATATGGCTGTGTATTGCAAGAAACAAAATCAAACTGCTATTTGAGAGTACTGGCAATTTTTAATTTGGAGACTGGAAATCAAGGCAGCTGCAGAGAACACACAGAGCTCTCACAGGAAGCAGTTCAGGACCATTGTCAGTGTTCATATGGTGAATCACTTACACATAAGCATCACATACTCAGGTTTCCAATGTGCTGCTCCTCCTATTCAGTAAAGACAGCAACATTTTAAATTGCTTCATTTCTTAGTGATTAGGTAAGGAAAGGCTCCACAAATGTATATTCTGCCTCAATGTTGATCTTATAAACTCCCTCTGACCTAGTTATTAATCTCTTTTTTTTTTTTTTTCTAATTCTTGACGATATACCTGGTGTTCTGACTTTCAGGATGCAGGTCAGAAAGGTCCTTTAACAGGAATAGCTTCAGTAAGGAGAGTGGGGCAGATGTGGGAGAGACACAAGCGTGTGCAGTATCTGTAGCTGTCATTGTCACTTAGTGCTGATGAGCCAGTAAACAGTTGTCCTTCCAGCACTTGAAAGCTCAGCTGCTTCACCACTGTGGTTTCCTTTGAGCCTATTCAGTGCTGCCTTTCAAATGCCTGTCTCAGATCTTCAGCAGTGAATTCAGATGCACGGGGAGAGGTGCTGCTAAGGTGATCAGCCACCCCTAGGTACACGGAGCAGTAGGGATGAATGACCAGGAGAGTCAGGGAACAGACTTGCTTTCTGAGCCCAAGTGCCATGTTAAACCAGTGAAGCATCTTTAGGAATGTCTTTGAATCAAATACTCTTTCAAAGCATGGTGCTCTCTCATAGCCTCTAAATGCTTTGATAACAGTTGTAAGTTTCAGAGGGGATCAGATTCTTTGTACTAGTGCCTTCTAGCTTCCTGATGAGCCTCTTCGGACAAGTTTCTTTTCTGAAAAATATCTTAGGAATCCTAAAGTTTAAACAGCATTTCCTTACCATCCTTTTGTGGAAAATCTTACCCTTTATTGAACATTTATTTTTAGTTCTTTTGCCTTTTTACTTCATTTTTTAGAAGAGTAGAAAGTGCAGCTTTAAAAAAAAAAAATTAAAAAGAACCAAACAAAAAGCAAAATCCAACAACTTCCAGAAGGGATTGTGTCATGCCTAACTTCAGTCCTCCAGGATCAGTGTTTGGAGATGTAGGGTATTAATGCCAAGCAGTTGCTTTCTGAAGAAAGTCGTCGGTTCTGCTGCTTTTTATTTTTGAGCCATGACTGTCATATGTGACAATTTAAGTTTTGTAATGGGTTTTTGTACTGTTCACTGTACGTGTGGAACATCAGTCACATTTGATGTATCGTTGTGCACTCTCCTATTTGACACATTCATTATTTTTGTTTTCTGACCTGCCCAAGATGTGGGATCTCACGTTTGTGTTAGATTTTGGGATGGTAGATCTGCATGTGATATACCTCACAGAACTACTAGTTAATATATCAACAAAATAGCAAGCTAATATTACAGGCAGGCAGTGAATTACCTCCCCTGCTGTGCAGTGGCTGTATAGGCAGACCTAGAACCTGATAACTGACTGTCATGGTTTGAGCCTGGTCAAACCACCACACTGACATTTGCTGTCTTTATTATCCCTAGTTGCTGCTTTCATGTTTAAACCATTTCCAAAGGGAGCCAGTCGCTGTGCTGCTTGTCATGGCACAATTGGCAGATCTGCCACGTTTCTTCACCTTTGGTTTGTGTGAGGGACCAGAACTTGACTTTGCCAGGAACGTGGCAGCAGCACGCTCCTGCTGACCTCAAGCTTTAGGCTGCTCTGGAGAGGTATTTTCAAATCACCTTTTTATGTTGTTGTTGATAGGTTCAGCTGGGTAAAGCTGAGTGCTGTGGTGTTTCCTGTGGTCATGAGTTCACTCAGTTGAACATGAATAGGAGCAAAAAGGAAAGTGATTGGGTGCATTGGAGAGAGAAGGTGATTAGACACCACTCTGAAAAGGCAATGACAAATTGTGTGCCCTGTTTTTAAATAAATACTGCTTTGTAAATAGAATACTTGTACCCCTACAAGTAGATAGAAATATAGTAACATAATTTGACAGATATTAGAAAAATGTAACATTTAAAGAATGAGATTGCTAACAAAGGCTCTGTGTACCATAAATCTGTGAAGAGCTTCCCATGTAAATAGCATCTTATATTCTGCCACAGACTTTGATGAAGACTTCAGTGCAAATGGCATTTAATATTTATGACACTAAGTCCTAACCCTTTACGCACACATGTGCTTGCATCATCACGTGCCTAGGTGCATATGGCAGAAGAAGTCGGCTTACAATTGCCAAAGTGATTTTTTTGGAGTCCTGTACATGAATATATACTTTCTGAGACAGTTTTGTCTGGAGGAAGCACCTGCTGTCTTGTGCTCCTCCCAACACACTTTGCAACACTTGTGGTGCTTGCATTGAATGGTGCCCTCTGTGGATGAGGCTCAAAGATGCTGTTGGCAATATTTGTTGGTTTTTTCCCCTTGTCTATTCCTTAGCCAGCCTGGAAACACAGTCCCAGACCCCGAATGCTAGACAAGGATTTAAAAGTGTTTAAGTGTTTTATTCCCTTTATTCCAGTTTAAGACTGTCTTAGATATCTTGTTAGGAGCTGTAAAATAGTTTCTTCCACCACCATTTTTTTTCCCCTCCCTCATTTATATAACTCTGGATTTTTCCCAGTGCTTCTCAGATAACCAGTGTTTGTTTCCTTTTAGCATGTTATACAAACAAACCTCAGATGATATTGGCAGGCTTTCTGTAACTTTATAAATTGTCCCAGTGTGCATGACAATACTTCTCCCCCACAAAAACATCTGTTAATTCCTTCTGCTTTTACAACTGAAACAAAAAAAAACTCAAGAGGAATTCTGGGTTTTGGAGGGCAGGAGCTCAGCCTGCCCATGCAGGTGAGGTGGTCTAATGGCAGGGTGTTTCATGAGAGGATGGGGTTAATCCCTCTCCAGTCTCACTCTCTTCTGTGACAGCACTGTCCAGGTGACTTTGTGGTGCACCAGAGCAGATGAAATCCTTGGTTTTCAACTTGATACCCAACAAAATTTCTAGGACAATCCCAAATCTGCATTTTGACTGAAAGCAAGCTTCAGTGGAGATTTATGGACAACTTCCACTAGAAGGGTCAGTACCTTTGCAGCTCACTTGGTCTCATGTTGTGCAAAAGGTAGGGAGTAAGACTAACCACAGAACAAAGCAAAAAGTGAAAATTTCACTTTTTCATTACGTGGATTAAGAAAACTTTAAAAATTAGTAGCTTGAGCAGGGCAAAGTAAAATAGAAAGGTCGCACCCTTTAGTAGTAACACAATAAAAAAAGAATCCTTGAACGCCACTCTGTCCATGTTTTCTAAATGTGGTTCAAGAATGGCTTTGGAAACATTTTACGTTTTGATACCATGTCAAAAGTTTGTAAAGCTGGGGATAACAAAAAGAGAAGACAACTGAATCATCATATCTGAAATCCTACTTGAAGGTAACAGCAATTTGAACTTTGAGCCTGTTGTGGCACACAAAATATCAGAACTGGTGGAATCATACAGGTCACCTGAAAAAAACACACAACATTGTACTATAATGCTGTAACTTTAAACATATACTGTGAATAGGTTCAATGTTTTTTTTAGCTCCTTTTATACCATATTTTTTACAGCATAAATAATTTGCTTAGAGATGTTTTTTATGTTCTGTTTTTATGAAGATTTTAATGGACTTTTGTTTAATACTAGTGAAAATATTGTTTGCCAATTTGACATAGTCATCTATAGAAGTTAATGCTGAGAATAAATCAGTAGACTGAGCTGAAAAAATAGTCTTCATAACACACTAAATCTAATAAGTCATTCAGCATATTTTTGTTGCTGAATGATACTGAAATTTTCCAGCTTCCAAGTCTGCTATTGAAAAATTACTTCTTTCACAATTTTAGCAAAATCATCACAAGGCACTTTAATAAAGCTGTAGCATGCCAAGTAAAATACTGATTCAACAAAGTGTATCAATATGAAAATTTATCAGCTAAGCAGTTAAACAAATGCATGCTTAAAAAAGGAAGCATGGGATCATGTTGGGGATATACTATTTCAGTGTGGCAGTTGACATTTAAGACTAACCTAACACTAAGATACAACTTTGCATACATTTTAAACCTAGTTTGCTTGCTTGATGTAACTCCTGTTGTATTCCTTGGGTGTCTAAAAGTAAGCATGTGTTTAACAATTTTGCCATAGTATTGCCATGAAATTTAATAAATATATTTTCTTACACTCTTATATGTCTTCATATTCTTTGCTTTCCCATTTATTTTTTAAGAGTTAAATTCTGCTCATGCCCCAGTACAAACGGAGTTATTTGAATTTTGTGCCAGAGCAAACAACCACAGGATCTAGCAAGCACAGCCTTGGCTTCCTGATAGGCAGAGTGGAGGGTAACAAATACTCCTCAGCACAACAGACCCTGCCATTTCCAGGGGCCACTAAAGCCCTCCTGTTCTTGGTGTACAATGCAGGGACAGGAAAAAGTCCAGGTCACTTACCTGTGTCCTCCTTGGCTTGTGGCTCCAACAGAGCTGGGGTTTGGTGTGCGATCCCCCTGCACGCCTGGGCTGGGGGTGTGCAGACATCAGCCCCTGCAGACTCCGCGTGGGATGGAGTGGCAGGATGAAGGGCCCAGGCTGTTTCTAGGGTTGGTTTGGGTGGTGTAGGACACTTTCTCAGCGTGCTTTAGTGGAACTGAGATGACCAGCTAATGGTGATGGGCCTTATGTTTGAGGCTATTTATGATGGCTTGTCATTCGTGATGTATCTTTGTGACAGCCAAAGAATTTTGTGGCTCATCCAACCCACAGCACCTTTACTTGGGAAGGACACCTGAGCCTAGCAATGTGTGTAATGACAGGTGCTGCACCATAGCACGTCACAAAAAAACCATCGTGGAATGATGGCATTGTGCTCTCTCCGTCTCTTTGGAGGCATCCTTGAAAGTCAGAGTCAATTCCTTGCCTCACAACAGCAGATTGGTGCATTTGGATGTGACAGCAACTGGGCAGGGTGTGGGAGCTCCTCCGAGCGCTGGGGAGATGTGGGATTCAGCTCTTTTAGTGGGATTGAAGAGTGCTGCTCTGAAAAGACACTTGGAGCTGTGGGAATGAAGGAAGTTTGACTGTTCCAAAAGTGAAACCCACAGCTGCCCTCTCCAGCCCTGCTACTGCTCTGGTCAGGGTAGGGACCAGGGAAGAGCTCCAGACAGGACTCGCTCCATCTGTGTCTCAGGTCTAAAAGAATCAACAGGATGATGGCTTTGCAATATCTTCTGAAGATACTGCACGTGATCAGATATAGCTAATTCAATGCTTGGCAAAACCAGGTTAACCCAGCTGGGCTGTACATTTAACACAGCTACTGGGCAGCTGGAATGAGTAGATACAATCATCATAGAGACACACAGCAGCAGCAGAGGACCATGAACACAGGAGGTTTTTTGCAGGGACCATGAACTGTCCCATATGTCACCATCACAATGAGAGTGGAGAGAGGGAGTCAGACCATCCCATGTTTTCTGTCTGGTTCCAGTACACAATCTTATCTTCTGTTTGACTCTCCCTTTGCTGCCAGTGCTGGTTGCTCCCAATGTGGCATCAAAGTACACACTCCCCTGGATCTACAACCACCAAAAGCTTCTCTCAACACACAAATAAAGCTTGAAGTCCCTCTGTATGAAACATTTGTTACCCATTAAAATAAATGTGTTATGGTAAAAACAATCAGTTCAAATGAAAGCTGCCTAAACATGATGATAAATGGGTGATTCCATTTTTGAATTCTGTTCTGCTGACACCAAAACTAAAAATTGTAGAGAGGGAAAAAAAATGGAAGCAAGTGAAACGGTAAAGAAGATATTAGATATTGCTCTTCCCATGTTTTCAAAAGACAGAAAAATTTAGGAAAATTCTGCCATGTCCACAAAAACTGATGATGTAGGCTGCCACTACTGCCAACAGAAACTATTTAAGAGCCTACAAAACAAAAAATTAGGTTGGAAAGCTGCTGTTTTGTGAGACAGAACATGGGGTGTCCGTGCTCTGCAGCTCTATTTCTTCCATGCTTCTCCATATATCTCAGTAACAAAAAGTGCTGGAAAAAATGGCCTGTGGGGATGGTGTTGAAAGAACTGGCACCGTTGTTTTCCTAGAAAGAAAGACTGAGGGAAGATTTAAAAAGAAAGAGCAGGGGAAGAGGAACAATGTCGTCTTTGTCTTAGTGCACAATGAACAAAGGAAAATGCTGTGACAGTGAATGGATATTCAAAAGAAATCAGGGCAGTCGGTCACAGCGCTGCCAGGCAGTCTCCATCACAAGGGGCTTGACAAGAGGGCACTCACAGATGAGCCAGTCCTGTCCACAGGGACAGACAGCCAGGACCCTGCAGAGCTGCAGTGACCACAGGTGCTGGCCCCAGGCTGTAATTCATGAGTGAAATGCCTAAGAGCAGAATCAAGGGCGCAACATCACAGTGCCCACAATGACTCAAGCCAATGAAAAATGGAGCGGGAGAGAGTTGGGGAAGGGAAACACCCCCACCCCACCCTCCACCACCCAAGAAATTAAATGGCGATAAAAGACATATCTGTCTGATGGGATGTGGCTGTTGCTCTCCCTGAGTAAACCAGGACTGTACCTTATCCGCTCCTTCAAGGTGAGGAGATTTTCCCCTTGAGGGCTGATGCTGTCGTGGAGGCAGCTGAACATGCAGAGCTGGAACAATACATTTTCCACCCAGCTTACTTTGCCATGCAAACAGAATGAAAACTTTTTTTCAAAAGGAAAGCCTGGCTGACAAAATAGCAACTTTTACAATAGGCAGCTATTTCAGGGTAATGCTCCATCCAGGGAATGGGCAACTTCCCAACCCTGGCAGCCCCCTCCTCCTCCTCCTCCTCTTCCTCCTCCTCTTCACTCTTTTGCTCCCTGGGGCCAAGCTGGGAGCACTGGGATGGAAATCAGCTCCAGCTGACCCAGGACAAACCAGTGCAGCAAGGATTTTCCAACCATAGGGAGCATTGCTAAGTCTCATCTGGCTTTAGGACCCCTTGACTTGCTTTCTTTTTCTTTTATCCTTATTTTCCTTTAGGATGAAGCAGATTAACCCTAACTGCAGACTCCTAGCAGTTGGGTCCTACGGAGATGGAGGAGAGCAGCAGGACACATTTTGCCCCGGCAGAGTGAGGGGCAACCAGGCAGCAGCTCTGGCCAGCAGCCAGTGCTCAGCACAAAGCCTGACTCAGCCCACCAAAGCTGACACCACGGCAGGTGTTTACCCCTACCAAATGGCATATTACATGTTCTGGGAATAATGTGGAAAACTAGTAAGAAAAATAAGAGCTGCAGTTTAAGGAAGGAGATTAGATTGCAAAGAGAGGAACAACCTCTTGCGGCTGCTGCCTTCCCTGCTGGCTTGCTCAGGTAGCTGCAGCAAAAGGGACAGGGCTCCAAGTGGCAGGAGCTTACCCTGCTCAGCACTGGGGTCATGCCTTGCATCTGAGTCAGCCCAAGCAATGAATAATGTGACTAATAAACATTCCTGGAGACAGCGAGCAGCACATGCAGGCCAGTTCCTGGGAAAATGACTAATCACTCTGCCATTCACGTCCACCTTTCCCTTCTCCCTCCCTGACCCAGCATCAGTGGGGAGGGTGTCAGAGGGTGAGAGGGGCAGAGCCTCCCCATGTGGTCAGATGTTCCTGATTTTCTCATACCTGTCTCCTGTTCAGCCCTTGAAGTGGAAACCACAGTGGAAACACATACCCCAGCTTTACAGGAAGAGTGGAGACGTACAAGAGGGATGTTTCTCAGACTGTCTTTAAAAGGATGCAGGAAGGATCCTTTTTTTAACTATTTAAACCACTCAGCATCGTTGCTATTCGTGCCGCCACTCCCACCAGCCTGCACCACTGCAGCTGCACTGCTCCTGCTCAGCCTGCACCGCTGCAGGGTGATGTTGCCAGCCCCAAATTCTGATAGGCAGAGTTGGAATCAGGCATTTGGGGAGCTGCTCTTCTTTTCCCACAGCAGCGACAGAGGTATTTCCTACCCATGCCCCTCCCTGCCCGACATTTCAGAAGAGCTGCTTTTGTTTTGGAGAAGCACCGCCTCGTACCAAAGCACCCGGTATTCTGCAATAAATTATCTTAAAATAGAGACCTCTCCCACCAGATGTTTGTCTTGGAACTGGTCTCCAAACTCTGTGACAGGAACGAAAGGATGGGAAAGGTGAGGCACGTAAGGCAGAGCAGAGGGTGATGCTGTTTGTGCACCACGGTAGAGCCCCATCCACACCAGCCCAGCATGTCCAGAGGATCAGGGGTACAGCCAGTCAAATCTCCCTACTCTGTGCCAGGTCAGGACAGGTCACTAGCATCTGGAAAACCCCTCAAGCTCATAAGATGTGAATTTTCCCTCTCAGGCAGCCAGCAGCTCAGACACGACCCAAGGCTGTGTCAGGCCACTCCCACAGGGCTACACTGAGTAGACAGAAAAATCTTCAGCCTTCAGAAATTTTAGTTTTCAATTTTCACTCTGTTTCCAACTCTACACATTTTCCTTTTATATCCCAAGGCATCCAATTCCATTTACTTTAGTTTCAAAGGCACATCTTGATCTGGTATACTTTATCATGCTTTTTCCCAGCCACAGAGGATTTCTCCTTCCCCATGGGGCTCCCAAGCCAAACAAAACTTTGCTTCTCCTGGGAGGAGAGCCATGAGTGTTTCCAGCTCCTCTGCAAGCTGAAGTCTGTGTCTTCTACAGACTTTTTCCCCCGTAGTATCATTTGAACAGGGAGTAGACACAGGTGCACATCACATAATGGCACCACCACTGCCATTTTCCTTTTATTTTCTGCTTGTAGTAAGTGCCTGCATTTGTTTTTGACCACTGCTACCTTAAGGAGCACAAATCTTTCATCTAAGAGATCAGGATGTCCCTTTAGCATGCAGGACAGGAGCTGGGGTATCCTTGGCAGGAGTTTGTCTGTACCATTATCTAGGTGTAGGTGTAGGTGGGCTGAATCTAGGGAATGTGTGTGAGCTCTCAGGGTCCAGGAGCACTCTGAGCACACTAAAAATGCAGCGGGAACCTCCTCACATCCATGCTTTAACTACATCAGGTCCTTTCAGCTCATTCAGATGAGCCTGTGCCCCTGGGGAAGGCCCGGCAGGCTGTGGGGTGCCCTGCTGCATGGCTGGTCTCTCTTCCTCCCCCAGCCCCTTCACAGG